GAAATTCAAACAAAAACAAGGTGACACATTTCTGACTCTTCTGCTTCTTGACATTTTATAGAGTACACACTGTTCAAAAGACAAAGTGACATTACTGATAATTACTTCACTGTTTTAACACATTGTGAAAAAAATGCTCCTGATGCTGGAACTTCTGCTGGATGATTGAAGCCAGCCGAGCGTGTTTGTATACGTGTGTGTCATGTCCCTGACGTCGTGTTGCCCCGACTGTCTTGTTCATCTGAGGGCTGTGACTAGAATCATCTTTTTAAAATCTACTGTTAACTAATAGCTTTTACTTGATTGCTTTTATGTTCATTTTATAATTTTTCCTTTGTTATTAATTTTAAATTCTGTATTATATAATTTGCTGCCTTGACATAGTGGCTAAATTGACGGGTGCTTTAGGAATAAACTAGCTTTACTACTTTTATTATCTTTATTATCATCATTTTCCGAGGAGCATTCGGGGTCAAATCCTCTGCGACTCCAGAGGATTACCCTGACCTTCTGTTTCATAGGCAGCGACCACAGCACCATCTAGCTGATGTGTTGCAACATTAGCCGACAGGATCATCAGGAAGAAGCAGCACAAGAATATCCAGAAGGTGAGAGAGCAACTGGAACTGATGTGGAACTCGAAATCCAAAGTTGTCCCTGGTAGAGGACCCGAGCTTGAGGACGTGTTTGTGAGGGAGAAGGTCAAAATTAATGTCTTACCTCCACCATGCAACTGTGGAACTACAAACGCTCGCACCTGAAAAAGAACAGACGTCACAGGGAACAGGGACTGCAACATTACAGCCATTTTAAAGCAGTTTAGTCAGTTATTACACCACATGCAATTACCAGAATGTGCATGTGACCAATAAAGCTGCTCTAGCACCCGATCAAGCTCTGGATGACCGAGCATGTCTCACTCCGACACAGGGTCAGTCCCCAACATGATGGAGGCTCCTGCAGTCATTCACACATAAATGCCACCTCTCTCTCAATGAAGTGTCCAGAACAACCGTTAAAATGTCTTTAAGTGGTCGGCTGCAGCCGCTCAGTGATCCGCTGGAGACGTGAGCCGTCACCTCTCAGGTGTGAACTGCATGGCTTAGATGGAAAACACTGCAGATGGATATCTCATTGTATAAAACCTTTAAATGTTCAGTGTGTAAGATTTAGGTGAAAGGGGCTTATTCAATATAAAATATTGTGTTGGATTCCTCCAGCATCCTCACATCAAAATCTCTGGGTTAAATCAAAGGTGTCCTCTGTGCTTAGGTCCTATTGCAAGTATTTGGAACTCATTTCAAACTGTTCTCCGTATTCATTCATTAGCGTGTTTCTGCTCTATGTAACACCTACTGTAAAAAGTACACAGCTTATGTAACCATCATATGTTATACCTCTCGTGGTGCTGGAGATAGATCACTGAGGCTCTGAGTGTTTTTCTGTTTCCGTGCTTGTTCTAAACAAAAATTCATGTCTGCTTCTGAAATATGGATATTTAATGGACATGACGCACATGTAGCATCAGATGCCTCCTAGCTCCCGTAATTGAAAAGGCCTTTGCTTTGTGCTGCTGAGAAAAAAAGCAGTCGGCTGCCATGACAACTGGAAATCTGCCATAGTAACAGCGGCTGTTGGACAGGAGCGTGCAACGAATTAATCTACATGACACCTAAATGATCATTCTGTCAACAATACGAGGAGTACAGCAGCATGCAGTTCAGAACTAGACCAGAGTGGTTTTCAAACGTTGGCACAAGAAATCCAGAGTGTGTTTTCAGCAAAACTTTATTTTTCAGTGCATGAACGGAACACCATGTCAAGCTCGTTGCCTGTCCTTTTCAATCCATTTTTAAACATTTTCTTAGTTTTTTTACATAAAAAAATAATGGAGCGATATAATATACTTCTATTTTTTTTTCTCTCCCCGAAAGAGCACTCAGCGAGTATTTATAAAGGTGCTGTACAATGTACAAACATTTACATCTACCGTCTACCTACAGAATGTAGAAGATACCACAAGGATTGTTTTTCTAATGAGGCGATGCAAGGCCACAGTATGATACAGAAATGAGATACAAAACCATTGAAAATAAACGTGGAGAGGAGGACGACGGTGCAGGAGGAGGACGTCGCCTGATTCTAAACCAGAATGAACTTCCTGTACCCAACACTCAAGTTTGGATTTACTCGTTCAAGCAACCGAGCTATTGCACAGAAAACCTGCCACTGATTGGCTCACAGCGCACCCTCATGTGATTTTTAACCTGAAAACTCCCTCATACAATCCCATGCTTTCATCACAGTCAATCACAGACCATCATCCACCATTTGACTGCCACTGATATCGACCTTATCACACCTTTGCGTGATACTGTGTTCCCTGAGCTCATCTGAATGCATCTTAATCTCATAAATATGCCAGTGTATTTCATTTTTACAGCAGATGCTCGATAAAGATCCTACTTTTAGAACCACAGACTGTAAATAAAGAGGGACGACAAGATTTCATTTCCTCCCATGGTCCAAAAATGAAGCTAAAATATTTCGGATACATTTGGGCGTCTGGAGTCGGCGCAATAGCGATTGCAGGAAGGACGATGAGTCAGTCTCAGATGTCAATCATGACGTTTAACCCCTTTTTTATAGCATCAAATAACTGAGGGTCACTTTAGTGGAGTAATTTCATAATGTTTACTGTAAATGCTGCTCATCATACCACAGCTTCTGCTGTCTTGAACTGTGGATGTTCGTACATTACTTCCCATGAAGTACTTAGTATATGTTCTGTTTTTGCGTATATGTTCTCTCTACTTATATGTTTATGCCGGGGATCAGAGATGGCATTTCAACCCAGTGTATGTCTTGTACATATGGCAGAATTGACAATAAAGTTGACTTTGATTAAAAAAACAAACTTACCAGAAAGATTCGCATTTGAACGAACAAACTACAGAGAAAAATGTATTTACCATGTTCTCTGACTCTTTAGTTTAGTCCACGTCCCATCCATTGGACCAACCGTCTCATCTGTTGGAGTTGGTTGCCCTCAGGCGTACACTGACTGAAATGCATCAGCTATTGTCTTTTTTAAATTAGAGACACTTTGGCTTCACTTTTGGAAGAAGTCATGACGTCCATCTTTATGTGCAGTCTGTGTTTAGAACCAATCGCTTCATCATCAATTCTATTACACTTTAAATACAGGATTTAAGAAGCAGGGATCTCCGCTGTAAATCAGCAACGTACTTAGTATCTCAGTAAACCACCACATCACTCTAAACTCTGTTATCCTTTAAGCTACCCTGGCACATAATCACACTGCAGGACCCACAAATACATACATTTATATCCTAATTTCTCTTTTCTTGATAGGATGAAGTAAAACGACCGGGAGTATGACTCAAAACTTGCACAGAGTTATATAAATTGAAAATTTGGCCTTTAACAGTGAATCTTTTAGAAAAAAACATCTTTATAAAGTAACAATAATAATAATAAAAAATGGCAATGCATTGGTAGCAAGTCAACATCACGAATTAAGTACAACTCAAGGTCATTCTGTTACTGTTATGCTACAAGGGCAGATGCAGTGCAATGGAATTCAATAGATATCTTTAAAGTTAGAATCTGCAAATATGACACATTCAAATATATATATATATATATATTTATATATAATATTTCACAATGAGACACATTTTGAGCGACTGCAAACATTTGGTACGGTGGTTTGCATGTTAACTATACAGTTCATGAACTACAAAGACCCATGGTAATTCCTACCACTGAAGTACATTGGAAATAGGGTGAGAGCTCAAATAACATGGGACAAATCTTTGAAGTCTATATCAAAATGTGGAATGGCTTGGTACGGCTACATATACATATATTCATCTATTATCTCAATAAATTACACACTGGTTGGTTATCGTACACATGGTAAACAAGATCTCAAACCACAAGTTTCTGGTCTTTTTAACGATACTGTTTTTTAGGTTTTTTTTGTTTATGGAGAAGAGTCGCGTCTACAACCATAGAACAGTCTAGAGTCCCTGGTAAAGTGAACGCTTGCTGGGTTGCATTTGAAATCTGAGAGTGAGAGTTATAAACAAGAATCATCGTCAGTGATGTGCAGAACACGTGCAGTAAAACAAACTGAAGGACGACTGCATGCAGCTGAGATAAAAAACCTTTTAAGAAAAAGAAGACAAAGTCAAAAATTTCCCACAATGAGACCGAGAGCGAGCAAAATGAATTTTCTGGATGACAGTCACAGTTGGTGTTTACTACAGGCGAGAGGCGAGCGGGCCTTTCTCCCTTTCTTTGCATATGGGTCGTTGCATTGTAATGGAGGAAAGCGCTGTTGGTAGTTCCACAGGAGACTCCCAGGATTGGCACATATCTGTATTTCACATTTCAAAGTGTCTTGTCTGACAAAACGCCCCGAACATGCCGCAGTCCCACGTCAAAAATGCTGAAGCAGCGGACGAGGCAGGGGGGAGGAGCTGCTACATGTGATGTCACAGGACTCCCCAAAGAAAAAAGAAACTGGTCTGAAGGTAATAGAAGTGGCACCCACCGTGTTTCTGTATTTTATGGAAGAACTCAGAAAAAATAATCCACTGTTTAATATTATGGGTGACTCGATGTTTTTTCCATCACAGAGGCTCACGGAGAACCTCTGCCTGGGAGAGAATTCTAGCTGAGCTGGGCACTTTCCAGGGGCCGGGGCTAATAGGTCCCTCTGGGCTCTGCGGGGTTCCTAGAACACTGTTTATAGAGGCCACAAAGTTGTCCTTACTGCCGTCGTCTCTGCAGCGAGAAAATGGATCGTGTCTTCCTTTGGCCTCTCTGGGCGAAACTACAGAAACCCTTCTACCCTGCGCATCTTTAAAAGACAACACGGTTTCTCTTTTGCTGTCTGTCGTGTCTCTATATCTGTTCCTGTCTCCCGGAGGTTTGCTCTTGTCATTAGCATCTCTCCGCCCTGAGTCTTTACCTGTTCCTTTCTCGTTGTCTCTGGCTGAATGAGGCGATGATCTGGGGGGGTGAGATTCTCCCACCCCTCTCCTTTTAAAACTCTCGTGCTCATGCCTCATCCTCTCCCCTCTCCCTTCCATCTCTTTCCCTTGTGAGTATCGCCTAGTCTCAAGACCAAGTCCATTGCCATTTTTCTTCTCGTGATTCAAGCTCTCTCTGCTGGAGGAGTCTTTTAATCTCCGCTGAGGGCCTCGCTGCTGCAGAGTCGAAGCTGGCTGCTGTCCTGCCTGAGGAGACCTCCTCACGGATTCTGGTTTTGTTTGTGTGTGAGACGTCCTGTTCCCGCTCGTCGCTCCTTCCCGTGCACGACTCTCCGTCTTCGTGGGACTGTGAAGTTGCTCTTTGGCTTTAGGAAATGTCTCCCCTGTTTTCTTTGGGCTGCTTAGCTCTCTGGAGTCTTTTGTGGGCCGGGTCCTCTTGTAGAACTTCACGTGCTCGGGGGAGGAGGGAGAAAGCCTTCTTACCTCCCTGTCGGCCCACTCACCACTCTCCTCCACGGAGCTTAAACCCCGGCTGCCACTGCTGCTGCTGCTGCGGGGCTTGAGGCCTTGTGGGGACAGGGTGCTCCAGCTGGAGGAATGTTTCAGTTTGCTAGAGAAGGGAGGGGACACGAAGACGGAAGCCCCAGTGGAGTATGGAGAGGACAGGGGTGATGTGTCAGAGAAAAACACCTCACTGGAGTAGCTTCTGGGTGAAATGAATTTTTGATCGCGTTGACCTGCAAGAAAAGTACAAGTTTTTACATGTAGACACCTCGTGCAGACAAATTAGATGCACCACACAGAAGACTGAGAGGAGAATGAAAACTTTATAATTCAGAGGTTAGAAGAGGGAAAAAAGTGAGAAAAAAATTACCAAGGTAAAAGAGAAGAGGCCAGTAAAAGCAGTGAAGATGTTAGTGTTGGTGCTCAGTGTAGTAGCACACAGTGGAGGAAGCTGTACTACCTGCATCAGGGGCAAGAGAAGAAGATTCAAAAGGAAGCAGATGGTTAGAGATTTAATGAACACATTTAAAAAAAGAAACTCAGCAAAGAAAGCACAATGAAATCAAGGAGGGCGGGGCTACGACACCAGCTCCATCAATTAACAAATGGAAGAAGTCATTACCATTAGCTAAACATCAGGCAGATTTATGGATTCAGCAATTATTTAACTTCTGTCAGCATAGAAAGCTCAAGATTATTGTACATCTGGTTCGTGTCAGTCCAAAACACATCAAATATATAAAAGTGAGCTAAATTCTTGAAGATCTCCTTGTTGCACAGTAAATCTCTCATTGAATAATCGGTTGGAATACAGCACTTACTGCCATCTTGAGCCAGGCCTGCTCCAGGTCGCAGCAGCAGCGCCACTTTGTTTCCTCCAGCCTGAATCAGCTCAATAGCCCGTGTATGAGAGATGCCACGAGCCGGCTCCCCATTAATCTCCACTATCTCATCTCCAACCTGTCAGTGATGCAGGAAACGCAGTTATTACACAGAGGCACACCTATCCAGGCTCAGCCTCACTTTGCTGAGCACACGCACACAAACTCAAACATGCAGAAGCTGTGTGCGGACAAACAAGCATACATAATCAAAGAGTCTACATTTTATGACACACACACACACAGCCAACCCTGGAGGTAGCCTCTATTATTGGAGATGACAGAATAACTCAGGATAAAGCGTGTAAACATCTCAGTCTGTTAGACTCTAATCAGTGTTGACGTTCCTCACCACCCTTGGACAGGCAAAGTCATGCCCAGAGATCATAGTCTGGAAAAGCTTAGATTGATTCCAGCTTACAGCCTCTATTCTGTTCCTGCACTTCATCCACTGTGACCATTTCACCTCCATGTGGAAATTATGATTCTGCAGAAACCCCTCCACAGGGAGACAGAGTACGGTCACGGTCTAACTCAAGGACACTTGATTGAAAGAGGGACTTTTGAGAACATGGAGGCTTGAACCTGGACGGGTGGACACATACAAACAAAACTAACTTGAAGGGCACTCAGCCATGGCCCGACAGTCTCCTTATAAAACAAACTCATTTGATCCAGATTTGTATTTGGACTGCACTCATAAATATCAGTCCCTTACACATGTCTGATATTCAGTTTTATCTTTTCTAGAAACTACTTTCATCAAGATCCATCCATCAATTATTCTCGGAGAAATCAACAAAAATGTTCAATGTTCAAGAAAGTGAAAACTCTCGCACTTTTCTGACCTATACCTCATCCCTCCACCAAGTTTTGTGGAAATATATCCTGTAGTTTTTGCTTAATCTTACTATCTAACAGACAAAACATTGTTCAAGGCCCAACAGTTTCCTGTAAATTTAATCAGGCTGCACCATACTGTACACACTCATATTAGTCCCTAAATATGCCAGAAGTTCTTCATCTAGATCCATTAATCTTTCCCTGGGAAATAAGTAAAAATGTCAAAAAGCCCAACTCACAATGTGAATGAACAGGAAAAAAGAATTGCTGGATCTGCATCAAAATGTAATGATCCTTCCTGATCAACACCTCATCCTTCATCATTTTGTGTGATATGGCTAACCTGCTGCAGACAAGCCAACGCAAATGAAAACATGACCTTCTGTTTCATAAAGGTAAGTCACAGTTGTCAAAGAAAACACAATATAAATCCCCCTTCTACATAAACAAGAGTAAATCTCCCCAAAATAAAAATTGAAATAATCCTCAAATCACTTTGCTGATTCAAGAACTGCTGACACATAATAGCTGGAGTCTTCTGCAGCATCACACCCTCCACACTGTAACTGGCAGTTACTGAAACACAATTAATTAGTTTAATCTCCGGTGCATTCAGCGCACGCCAACAGAAATCACATTTTCTCTGATTTACCTCTCTCTGCCATAAACTACTAAACATGCAAAATTAGATCTCAGCTGTGTGATGTCTTAAATAACAGGACATCCCACTGAGTCTCACGACGTTTCAGTGAAACCAAGAATGAAGGGAATTTTACCGAAGCCAGAAACATCAAGTATCGAGTTGTTTTCTGGAGGTTTCTTGTCGGCTGACGGCTCCGGTGATGGTGACGTGTGTTTGTCAGTCAGTTGATTGAGCTGTCCAAAGTTTTTGGTCATGACTGAGAGATTCCATCAATTACTGGCTAACGCTCCACTAATTCGATGACCCCCTGAAATCTCCTTCAACTCACCACCAGCTCAGAATTCACACAAAAGTGCTTCACACATATATAAAATAAGATAGGTAGTAATATGATAAATAACAATAAATACATGCAACAAAAGACTGATTAAAGAACAGAAAGACAATAAAAGTTCATGGTGTCAAACCCTTTCATGCACTAGATGAGTCTAAGGCCAGTTTCCATAAATGTAACTTTAAAAATAGGACATTAGTTATGTCATATCGTTGGAACCACATCTCTCCATTCAACACTGGTTAATGTGGCATGTAATTAATACTGCAGGTCACTCGTATATTGCTTTAAACAAGGGGTCCTCAAACTCTCAGATGTGGACCACCCCTCAGATGAAGTTTGGAAGCGTCCGCCTCCTTAATGCATTTCATTGTACATTCCTAGTCTATGATCCCACTCAACGACTGAGCAAAGATGGTCTAATACGGCTGTTTGACTTAACTTCAGAATAAAAAAATCAGAAATAATTGTTAATGCGCAAGCAGCAAACAAGAAAATAACCTGCAATCCTGGCGGTGCATGAACTCAAATCAGACTCGCTTAAAAACAGAATATGAAAGTGACAAATATGCATAAAGAAAAGTATAAGAATATATGATAGATTTAATAAATTAAGTAAATATGTAACAGATAAACAGGCACAAATATTAGCTATAAAAATCAGCAGGTTTTACATTCAAGTCTCTCAGATTGTCTCACATTTTTTTGAAATCCAGCAAAAACAGTCTTCCCCTGTTCAGAGTTGAGTTAAAAAACAGATTACAGTTATAAATATTATTAAAGTATTATTATAGTAATATGTATTTTATTTACAGGAGCACTCACATGGATTCTTCCATCGATCTGAGCAGCTCCGTCCTCTGCCAGTCTCAGGATGTACAGGCCCATGTTGTACTCTGTTCCCCCCCGAAGACTGAAGCCGAAGCCCCGAGGTCCCCGCTCCAGCTCCACTGTCAGACAACCCTGAGCAGGCAAGAAGAAAACACACACTATATGTTCAGTAAGAAGTGTTTAATAAATATTAATGTGATAAAACATTGTTTTATTTTTCATATTTGAGATGAGACACTCTGTAAAAAAGTGCTTGTGTGTGTTTCTCTTAAAACTTCCCAGGGATGAGTTGATGTCTCATCAGATTCTTGAGAGTTTTCTATTGATTCAGAATGTCTGAAGGATTCTTGATCTTCTCAGAATACTTTGATTCTTGATCTGTATTGATCCTAAAGTTGCACTATTTGAATCTAATAATAAACACAGTATGTATCCGATGTACCTGTGCACCAGCAGCTTGAGAACAGGATGTGATGCAGTAAACAGAGACATCTCTGTGTTATAGAATTTCTGAAGATCGCAGTTTACATACAAACGTTTGCCTGCGGCGGCTTTAACCTTCGGATAATCGCCACGACAACATATCGAGGAGGGAATAAGAGGATTATTGTTACCTGGTTGGGTCCTGTCACACAAAGAGTTCCCTGCTCGCTGAGAGGAAGCGTTTTGTGGTCGGACCAGTTGACTCCGTCTCTCTTCTCCTCCAGGTCGAGGTTATAACTGAAGCAAACAAACACGTGTATTTCTTCAGTAACATATGCTGCAGGCCACAAAATGAAAAAGCCATTATGCAAAACATCAAATCTAATTTAATGCTCGATGTTAAATGGAAGGGAGCTGCTTTTTTATTCATATATGGATATTTAATCATGTGCTGCATATGTTCCATACTGTACACATTATTGTTTTTTTTTATGTTTATTACACTGGTGTCTTTGTTGACAGCAATTTCCTCTTGTTTGCTCGGAGGGGAGCGCTCTCTCTTTCACTCTTTGTCGTGCTGAGTGCAATTACAGAGGATGTTTGGTGGTTTCACTCGACTCTGACTGAGGAGGCAGCAACATGGCCGCGTAAATATCATCATAAACACGACACAACATTTCAGTTATAGATAAAGTTTGTGTGGCGTCTTCTGTCTGCTTGGGTGTGAACCTCCTCAGATCACAAATGGATGAGAGAGCAGTAACGAGGGCCATTCAAGTTTGGGAGGGACAAAGCTGGCGAAGTAGGACACTCCAGACGTCCTTGTCCCCAGCCACACTTTCCAGCTCCTCCTGGGGGATCCTGAGGCGTTCCCAGGCCAGATGAGGATATTTAATCCCTCCAGCGAGTTTTGGGTCTACCCTGAAAGTCTTCCAATGGAAAGCACTCTGGAGGCATCCATGACTAGATGCCCCGACCACCTGAACTGTCTCCTTTTGACATTGGGAGTAGCGGATGTCTGAACTCCTCACCTTATGTCTCTGGCTGAGCCCAGACACCCGATGGAGAAAACTCATGTGTCCGCTTGTGTTCACAATCTCGTTCTTTCGGTCACTACCCAGAGTTTGTGACCATAAGTGAAGGTTGGAATGTAGATCGACCAGAAAGTAAGTAATCCAAAGCTCCTTTACCAAAATGGCCCGTACCTAGCATATCATTATTAAACTCCTTGTGACAAAAATATGATTGAGGCAGTTTAACAATCCTATGGCTAATATTATCACTAAACCGATAAATCAGTCAGGCCCTGGTCCTGTGAGAGCTGAGCAGGTAGTTCAGAGTTCAATCTACTGGACAGTTTCACAGACTCTCTGGTGAGTGACAGCTTTACCGTTCATCCTGAAGGGCTGACCTCTGACCCATGGCCCTGTGCTGCAGAGCCGGACTCTGCTTTGCTGAACTCGCTCCAGACGGAGGGCCCTTGTATTCTGGAACACATGTTCATATTTCAGCAATAAGTTAAAAGTTGTTATATCACATTTTATGCCAACTTAAAATAAAATGATCTCGAATGATAAAATGTATCTTGAATTTTTAGTGTGGATAAAAGTATTATTATTAGACTTAAAGTGATGGTAGACACATTTTATTATAATTTATTTTCATTCATTCAATCTTTCAGTGGGACAAACCAAGTACTGTGGTGAATGCAGATGTGGGCGCACGGAGCTAAACTCACCATCCTCTGGAACTACAGTGAGAGTGACAACGTTGCCGGCCTCCTTGATAAGCTGCACAATGTCATTGTGAGAGAGCTCAATGATGGAGCGCCCGTTGACCGCCGAGATACGATCTCCGACGTGCAGCAGGCCGCAGCGGTCGGTGGGACTGCCTTCAATGATTCGGCCAATTTTGTGCGGGATAACTGAAAAGGCAGATATCAGGAGAATAGAGAGATGTATTTAAAATGTATTAATAAACCCGACACAATAGACTGAGGAGACCAGAGAACTGCTTTGTTCTGGTTTAACTAAACCACCTGCATATTTCATCTGTACGTCCATGAACAGGGTTGAGCCATTAAATAATACACAGCAGCTCACCCCAGTGAGTCTCCCTTTATGCTGCTTTTTAAATATCATATATAAGACTGATTAAACAATATGGCTGCATATTATAATGTATTGAATTGTTTCATAACATCTGCATTTCTGTGCCCAATAAGTTGTTCCGTTAATTTAGAGATATGGTGCATTTAATCACGAGATTGAAGATGGAAGAGTTTGGATGTTTAAAAATCTAATTTCAGAAATATACTGTGTAAGAAAAGAAATGTGGAGACTCGACTCTCACCTCCGAGCGGTGGTTTGCTCTTGGACGTGAGGATGACAAAGCCAAATCCCTCGATGTCTTTGCGGTGGAGCGTGATGTCAAAAGACTCGTGGTCCAGAGCGCTGGGTATCGGCAGACGAGGTAGCTTGGGGGAACCGTTCACCAGCACTGGAGCCATTTCCAGAGCCTCCTCCTCGGTGGCATCTGATGTGAAAATAACGCAGATGTTGATATATTTGAGGCCAAATCCATAACTGCAGATAATTTCAAGATTGAAGTTGTACTAGTTCTACTTCAGAGACTCTTTCTCTGTTAAATTTTTTTTTTTTCCTCGTCTACTGGATATGTGCTCAAGCTAACTACTTAGTTCCTCCTCTATTTTTAACACACATCTATTTTTAACATTCAAACTGCTGTTGCTTCTGTCAAATGTAAAATGCATCACTCCCTCGGTGTCTGAGGATTTTTCTCAGCAAAGCCCTGCGAGAGTCGCTCAGAGCAACACAGTTGATCTGGACACACAAAGCTGTTATTGTGGTCCCTCACCTCTGTAGATGACCTTTCTCCGTACAGTCAACATGACTTGACCGTTTCTGGCAGCGTTGGTCATCAGATCCAACACCTGCTTGTGAGAACGACCTTTAACCATCACACCGTCGATGCCGATGAGCTCGTCCCCTGCTCTCATACGACCGTCTTTCTCTGCAGCTCCGTTGGGCACAATGGCCCCGATGTACACCTGGGGAAAGACATTCTGCAGAAAACATAAATCATTTTAATTATTAAGGCAAACTAAATCTTTTTTAGCAAGGAGCTATCAAGGACCCAGATTGTTAAAATTGAAACTGGGGATATATGAAATGTGTCTACTTTGTTAAAAATGATTTTATTCTTGGTACAGCTTGGACATACAATGGAAAGGCAACTGAATGTTTTTATTAATTTTAATTTGGATTGGATATATGGGCCAAAATAAAAAGCACACATGTACTTACTGGTTGTTGTGGACCTTCTCCTCCCAGAACACGGAAACCAAAGCCTGTTTCTATGTCTCTCTTTAGAAAAACATCTATGTCTTTGGTGTGAGGCTCTGTGGACGAGTAAGACTCAATCACTGTTGTGTCAGAGATCAAGATTTCAGGCTGAACAGGACATGAGGTTTTAAAAACATCTTAAAGAAAGCATCTGCCTGCACTTACGTCTGCTGTCCAGCAGGGCTTTGGACTTCAGGTACATCTCTGTGGCGTCTCGTTTGGGGGAGTCGACGGAGCGCAGGGTGCTCGTGTTGGAGTGGTAAGGCAAGGCCTGGGGAGCCGAGTCACCGATACCCTCCAAGGTCTCTGTGCTGGCCGTCATTTCCTGTCTCTGGAAAAGAAACACACCGACCCCACATTTGGAAGACATGTCAGAATGTGTGTCCATCTTCTAAATGGCAGCTAATGGTGATAGATTACCAAAAGCAATAAGGGTCAAGACACTGTCTCTTTTTTTTTTACATTCACTGTTCTTCTCACTTTACATCCCTCCTGTTGTTTGGAAGGTTGAGAAATGGGGATTTAAATGTAATATACAATCTACAGGTATAACTGAAGATTTCCCGTCGGCTGTGACGGGCCCATTCAGGCATAAAGGGCAAGTTCTTTATCTAAAACTGTTATATTAATAATACGGACCATATCTAAAGGGGCTCATCCATGCTTCATTACCATTGCAATCCCCTGACAAAAGCCCTAAGAATACAAATAGTGAAAGGAAGTAATTAAGACCGTTTTCCAGAGCAAACAAAAGGAGGCGCCCAGAAACATAATCAATATTCAAATTTATTGCTATCATTTAATTCGATGCAACAGAGGCTTAGTGGTTAAGCTGAAGGACAAAAAGCTTTGAAATTAACTTGAAGGATGAGTCCCAGAGGGGAAACAATAGCGAGGAAATAGGATAAGATTTTTTTTTTACTCACAGGCTTTAGACTCTTCACAGGGGATGTTTGACCTATGGAGAGACACAGAGACAAGACGAGTATGGTGAGAATGCAGATATGATTCAAAACAAACGCCATCACTGAGACCACAGGCCACCAGATGGCACTGTTTCTCTGACTGAGCACGAGCAGAGCATAAATATAAAACCAGTGAGCTGCTCTAAACTCAGGAGCTGTACTCACTAAAGAATGCTCCATTAGGGAATATACAAGTATATGTGATTAAAGATACATAGAGAATATAACGGTGGTGCATGTGCTGGCTGCATGGTTCATGCCCATGCAGGGCAAAGAAAGCAGGGTGAGAGCATTAAGAGATTCATGCATATAGTTCAATGACCGAGTCCCTCTCTCTCCGTACAGTACACCCACATGTTCCATCTCAAGCGCTCAGATTGTTCTCTACAGATCATTTCTTACGGCGCCCTACCCTCCGTCAACTCCCTGCATTAACTGGATTAACAAACACTCCTCTGGAGCCCACAGCGCTGTGGGGCCGGACTGACACTCGGCCTGGCGAGGGGTTAATGGAGCCTGATGTAAAAGTGGGGGGGGGGGGTGCAGCAGCATTTTTCCGCTTCACTGTGAAATTCCAGATGCTGCATTAATTGCATTATCATATCAGAGCCAGACAACACACCTTAAACACAACCACACCCACCACACTCGTTCCATCCTTTCTCTAGTACCACATTTACACAGAAATTAGCGAGTACGAACAGTTTTTATAAAAACATGGTTAAACCCGCTAAAAAGGCGATTGGCACTTTTCCCATTGCCAACAGAGGAGTTTGACAGTTTTTTTTTCTCTCGGTGAGTCCTGTTCGAGGTCACAAACACGCCGGAGAGCGAGAAGCTCTCTCACATCACTACTGTGACTCCATCCAGGGGCAGAGGATGTGATCTACCCAGCCCACGAAGACCACCTCCCTCATGGGCCGTGTAGTCCGCGGCCAAAGGCCAAAACAGAATGAGACGGTCTGGTCAACAGCAGCTTTCCACGATCAGCGTCACCAGCTCATCTCACCCTTATTGCTGTTGCCTAGCAACAGAGATGAAGTTGGACACGATGAGAAAGTTTTAATGTCCTTTGTTGTTTTTTTTACATTTGTACCATTAGCTGTTTGGCTCTGTCGAAGCATGATACACAGGCACTGGACGTCTCGCTGCTTGCAGGCGCTATGACTCTTTAACGGTTCGTCACTGAAGCGCAATGAATCCTGGGATCAGTTTGGCTGGGCAGGATCCACCCATTGGATCTTTTGTTTCTTTGAGATGGAGGATGCATTTATCAGTTGCATTTGAAGAAGCCCTTGAAATGAGTTAAATTTTTTCATCATTGCCGATCAGGGTTGTTAAAACCTGTGTCTGCTGCAGAATCATTTAAACCGGAGTGAATGCCCATTGTATCCATTCCCATTGCAGTCAAAAGCCAGATGTCTTGACCTGTGTAAAGGGGCTGAAGAAGCTCTCCATCTGTTCAGTGATGCCCACCACTCCCTATTCACTTTCAAAGTCAAGGACCATCGTCTAATGAAGGTTAAAAGTGGCGTCAACTCTTCATTCAGGAAAGCACAACTTTGCCTGTGAGGTCATGCAGTGCATCAGTGGAGCAGGACGTGGTGGTGGTGATGGTGGCACAGCAAGTGAGGGTCAGCAGTGAGTGGAGTAGAGGGAGGAGGGTTGAGGCGTGGCCATGGGGAGGAGGCCCCTGGGGACCTTCCCTCTTTAGCGATTTAGCCATGGATCTTTAAGGGGCCATGGATATAGAGGCATGCAGAACTCCCCCTGCGCTCTGCTGATGATCAAAGCCAATCCAGAGCTCATCGACTTACGCACTGAATTCCCCGGGGCGGCTGGAGATGGATGTAGGAGACATTTGAAGGGTGAACCCCCCCCTCTTCCCACAGAATCCAGCACATGCCCACGCTTATGTAATTCCCGCTCACACACTTGTAACAGACTGCATTACGCCTCAGTGGGAGTCATCAAAAACAGAGGCAGGTCGGGTGGAGGCACACGAGAGGAGAGTGCTCCAGATATGCAAAGACTCTGAGAGTCAGACCATCATTTAAAGCAGCAGCTACTGGTGCAGCTACAGGTGGATCTGCTCAGCTAAAAGAAAAAGGCAGCAGTCTCTAATGTGGTGACCGGACACAGACACAGTGGCATCACCCAGGCTTCAACAGAACTACAGTGTGTGGTCAGTCAACGAGCCCCAACCAGCCGCAACACCCCCTCACCTCCTGTCAGTATCAGCACTCTGACCTCACCTCCCATGGTCACTGTTGAAGTTGTATTCACAGCAACAGCAAATTATGTCACACACACAAACACGGCATAAATGAATGATTGGAGGAGGAGACAGAGCTGATGTTTGGACCTGGTGTTAACATCTGTCCTGAGAGATCCAATCACACGTGGTCAGCTCAACGTACATCTGGTATTAAAATTAAAATAACTTATAGAATTGAGTTTTCAGCAGCTGCTTGGAGTTAAATGCAGATTCAACAGATGTGATGGATTGGGTAAAGCTGTTCCAAAGTTTGGGAGCTACTGCAAACGCTTGTGGATTTTAAAATAAATACGGGGAACAGACCTTGATCAGATGATCGGAGCAACCGACCCCCAGAGTCGGTGCTCACTTGTGATCGGTTCTCACTTCTCCTCTCGATACGCTAATAAATATGTAAGATTGTGCTTATTATGTTATTTTTAATCTAGTTTGAGTAAACAGATGTGTCGAGAGAGAATGAGAGAGGTAGAGAGAGTCAGAAGTCAGGAGGGGCTGAATGAATCTCATGCAGCTCTTTCCGATTGAAAAAAAGATCATTATGTGGTGATCAGTATTGTGGCCAAAAACAAAAACCTACGTTCAATGAGAAGTGAAAAATACTTTCAATTCATTGTGAAACTGTAAAAGGTCAAAGGACGTCAGCGGTGGGCGGTCCTTCATACTCTATGTCACACAGAAAGGACGATGGTCACGGGACAACCTGGGGATCAGATCTCATGAAGCATTTTGATATCAGACCTAAACTCGTTGTTTCTACCAGGTCTAAACGGGGTCAGAGACATTAAGAAAGAAACAACACCAACATTAATATAAAGCTGTCCAGGCTGATGGATACAAAGACACAGGTACAAAGACAGACAGACAGAATGATAGATGGAATGATGTATTGCTGTTTCAGTCCCTCACCTCCTCGCAGCACGAGCACGTTGACCTCGCTGCCCACCGGCAAGTCTTTAAGAATGTCCACCACTTGAGCATGACTCAGAGTTTGCACATTTTGCCTGTTGATCTCCTTGATGACATCTCCTTTCTGCAGGCCACGGCACCACTGAGCATCCAGGATCATCTTCACCTTCTGGCCCAGCGGGCAGTCAGCGATAGCGAACCCGAACCCCCCCGGCCCCTTCACCAGCGGCACGCTCACCAGCTCAGGCTGCAGCATCCCTGCCACCTCCCCCTGCCTGCCGTTGGGCATGGCGGCCACGACGGGCCGACCGCTTGAGTCTGTGGTGACGTAGTGGAGCTCCTGAGAGGACCCGTGGAGGACGTCGCCTTTCACGAGCAGCGGCTGCCCGTTGATGAGGGGCACAGCCGTCACTACCTCTCCACCGTGCAGGGCCTGCTGGGGCTGGGTGGCCGACGGAAGAGGAGGAGGTGGGAGAGGGTCGTCGCTGTTCAGATCCACATCTGGGGGGAGCGGGTATCCACGGCAAAGAACCATGTCCACGTACTGGTTGATGGGAATGGACTGGAACATCTGCACCACCTCTGGATGAGTCTTGCCCAGCACGCACAGCCCGTTGATCTCAACAATCACATCACCTAAGACAGAGGAGAAAAAACAAAACCAGTGAAACCAGAGTTTATCTTCTGGTATTTAATCGAGACATCACCTCTCTTCTAAGAGCTCTTATTCCTCTTTGTCAGATGAATCTTGCCTCTAAAGTTTCTCTTTCCTCTTCACTGCTCACTCATATTTTAATTCTGGCAGCTCCTCTCATTCTCCTCAGTCTACCATTCATTTCTAATTCATTCCCGTCCCTCCTTCACTCGCTCCATTGTTGAACAGACCAGAACAGCACTCTCTGCCACAACTACAATGATGGGTGTAGATTTCTGTCACATTGTCCCATTGTAGCCATCACACATAAACACACACACACCGAGCTCACAGCTGTTGGTTTATGCAGACAGCCGCGAGGCAATGGAAAGATCAGAAACTGAACTGTCTGCTGTAAAACGATGCCCTTGACAGAATTGCCAGTGTTGTTGTTATTGCCTTGTCGAACTCCAGGGATAGTGTCGGGTTGAGTGAACACCACAGAGGTAACATTAACACCCCCAGGTGCATCCTAGTCGTGGCTGCAAAATAGTTTTTTGTAATATTGCAGAAATTAGCAGGGATAAACTCATAGATCGTCCTGCCAGCTCAACATGAGCTTAATGTTTGTTTGAACAGGAACACACTTTCTATCTCGTCCTCTTGTAATTGTGAGAATGTATCTGCGGAATTGCTGCTCACCAGATGCCATCTTGTTGTCGTGGGCAGCGGGGCCGTCGCCGAGCACATTTTTCACCTGCAGGAATTCGTCCGTGCGGTCACCTCCGATGATGGTGAAGCCGAACCCCTGGGAGCTCTTCTTCAACGCTGTGTGGTACATCTCCCCCTTCAGCTGGTTGGGGTCTGAGGTGAAGCTGGACCCTCCTCCCTTACCTGTGCACAAAGTGTCTATGTGAGCGTGTATGTACAGTGTCTTGTCTATTGATGAGAGAAATCCTGAGTAAATGACAACGCAAACGGTGCTCGACATCAAACGCAGCAACACTGATTAATGAATTCATATCCCCCTTGAAAGGCAACAAAATCCAACCATGTCTGCATTTAAAGTCAATTATACGCATTATGTGCTGAGGATCAACAGAGTAATTAGTCATTTGTAATTAACAGGCATGCTGCACATACCTAAACTAGATAAACCCATCAACAGAAACATTTTTGTACTGAGAGGGGAGCACAAACACAAAGATAAAATGATATGAAACATTAGCGTTACATGCTAATTTACTTCACCCGAAAACAAAACTCTCAGTGAGCGCATACCTCCGCCAAGGCCTAACGGTCTCCTTATGACACCACATTTGAATTTACTGGTTTCAGATTTTTAGTAAGTTTTTATTTTTAATTGTGTGTTTCTTATTTGTGAAAATAAGTTTTGAGTGCTGTATAAATAAAAGATATTATATTGTAATGACATTCAATCGACATATAACATTAATTCTCAACATTTGAACTCCCCCTAGTCCCACACAAGATTCCCACAAACAGAAACGAAGGGACAATGATAATTTAAACAAATAAAAAACTAAATAAATGAATAAAGTAAGATCAAAACATTACTATACAGCAGGACAGTGACAGTGTCCAACTTAGTGAGACGTCCTCTCTTATTCCCTCCCGCCTGCAGTCAGTGACTCAGACAAAATGCGTTTGACAGAGTTGACTTTTTATAACTTGAGTAAGGAACAATTTAAGGTCAATGGCAACATCAATATGGACCAGCGGCCTGGCCGTGGTATATGCGGTCCAGTAGATAGCCAACAGTCGAGGTCACACTGCATTAAACTGAGCTGATTCCCTATCTGGCGTTACTGTGGTATCAGCACTTAGATCACAGACACACCATTTTTTCTCCCCTTGCTGCCTGATGGTCCCTGGCCTGAGCTGCATTTTACCTTTGGATCAAAAACAGTAAAACTGAAGCCAGACACTGACAAATTGTGCACTTTGCTGCGGCTGCGCAACATATTGAGAAAATATGATGTGGTTCTCAGTTTCTGGGATGAGAGAAATATAATTATGTGTTTAAAAGTGGTTGTCTATCTTTTTTTTTTTTTAACTTAACCACTTTGACCTTATGCACTAAAATACCAGATTATCATATTGATTTATTTTGTCTTATTGAAACTGGAAAGTGTTATGATTTATAGCTTAATATCCTAAATCACTTCACTCTCCCCAAACATCAATACTCACAATCCTTGAGGCACCAGCTGAGACAGTGAAGTTGCAGCCTGTTAATTAACCTTTAACCAAATATATCATTCAAAAATAATTCAGTATTAAACACCCAAACTGGAAAACACAAAAAAAACTATTCTATTGTGTACCATACTCCTGGCCTGTACTCTGAGTTTTTAATTAGTTTAGTCCTGAGTACAGATAAAATATTCATAGTATGTGATTGTAATATTCATGTGGATGTTGACAATACAGGCTCTGCAGTGCAAACATCTCATTCCAGACTCATCCAGCTTCTCTCACATCGAGTGTAAATAAAAAACTTTTTTAACCACATCATTGACCTTGTTTTGACCTATAGGACATCTAATAGTCGTTCCACAGAATCCTTTTATTAGACTTTTTGATTGCTTTTGAATTTCTGTGACTGGATTACACGCCATTATGTGAAATGTCTATGTTTATCCAATACTGCTGTTGCCAAATTGAAGGAAATTATTCCATCTGCACTTAATTCGAAGTCATTGACATTTCAGAAAACTATTACTTCTTTTAAAAAACGATCAGCGCCATGGTTTTTCCCAAACTTGCAAATCAAACTAAGTAGGTGTGCAGATCCTGTCCTGCTGTTGTTACCTGAAGGCCGGAGACCCACCCTGCTATTGTCTGAGGGGGTGTGGATGGATGAGCTGTCTGGGGAGAGAACGTAGGACTGCATCGTAGGTGGCTGATAAACCAAGCGTCATGAAATCTTGACAGGATGTGATGTTAAATTGGAAGAATCCTGCTTAGTCTGGCAAAATAGTCTTGGACCATAAAGAGACTCTCTCTTATACCACAGCAGCCTATTCTTCATCATTAAGAGTAAAATAAAAACAAGTGCAGTAAAAAGAACTGGAACAAGAGATAATACTCATGTGCAAGCTTAAGTGAATTCCTGTAAAATCCTGAGGAGAATTTAAAATCATCCTCCCCACATATACAGCACTGGAGATGGTTGAGAACATAGTAGCCCATCACCCAACAAGAACAATGCGTTCCCAAGAATACAGGCTTACTTGTGCTTCCTAGAGTCTCTGAATGAGGTTTATAATGGGAGCCAGAGCTTCTGCATTGAGTCTGAGAAGCAGACACCATCTCCATGATGAAGACGAGGCTTATAATTGTCCTTTTTGATAGAGCCTGGCTCTGACTTACCTCAAACCATCCAGAATTCACTCCAGATAAAAATCCTGGTCTTGGTAAATACCTGATAGAGACTCTACCGGCAAGTTGAATTGCATAAATCAAATCTGGCTGAGTAGTTTGGCTTTCACCAGTATACTGACCGGTCGGCACTGAAATAGTCCTCCATGCATGAGAGAGAGCGTCCAGTTCCTCATCTTTAGATAAATGTGAGGCCCAGTATTTAATCTGGGGCCTGTGTCTCCTCCCCACAAATCTTCAGCTCATTCTATTAAATCCAGTGAAATCCTCCGGGGGAACAGCAGTAGGCAGCAACTGGAGTAAGTGGAAACTGGGGAAGTACATTCATTTTGGTTGTTTGAATTCGGTTTGACAAGTCCAGTGGCAACACGGTTCAACTGTCTGCTTTAATTATCCCAGAAACAGGAAGATTCTGTTATTCTAATGGGAAGTTTTTTGGAATCCAAAAAAGATCTTTTACAGCAGAAGAGTCCCAGTTGAAGACAATTCTGCTTCCTAAATCATTATTTGGTGTAGAGTTATGAGAAAGTATTTGGGAACCAGAGTTTGAGCCACATAAAGAACAGAAGAGGCGTCTATTTGAGTTGACTTCTGTCTGAGTAATTTAAATTAATAAATAAACTTTTATTTGAGTAAAATCCTCCTATATTCCCTCAAGTTGAGTTATTTTTAAATCTCAAATGAGAAAGGGCACAGGTAATTGGCGACACCCTCCCTCTAACTTGATAGGTCGAATTAGGAACCCAACTCGTTCTTATTCCTGCTGTGAAGGTTAATTATATTGATAGAACAAATTGTACTGAGCTCTGGCTGAAGCTGCATCTCTCTGGTACATGGTTCAGATAACCCCTGACAACGGAATCCAAAGTCCCTCCCTGCAAAACTCTCACTTTGATGTGACTATTGAGATGTGCCACTAAAATTTAGTTTTAAAAGGCTGCACCATATGATGCTTCACCAGCAAACGACTTCCATTCATATTCAAAATTAAATCTGAATATCTTCCTCCACTTTTTCCCTCTTTATCTCTCTAGTGACTGAACAGCGACTTCCAATTCCAAGTCCATTTTTCTGTATCTGGGTTTTAAGATCACAACAGCAACTTTTCTCGTTTGGCAGGAAAAACTAAAAGCTGCACATCTTCCCTCTCATTTCCCCTCCGTCTTCTAGACACTGGAACATCTGTATTTGTGCATGAGGAATTTAAATGCAGTCGTACGATCAAATGGTCATAAACATCCAGTGCAGACATAAACGGCTGTGAGTGACTGTAACTTATCACAGCCAGCACGGACTCATGATGTCCACACTGTTGCATGGATCAGGAAAGGCCCATTTACATAATCACATCCAAAATGCTTGATAAAAACATGAATGCTCTTTTTCGTCTTTTCCCCCCACAGAGAGTTGGAGTAAGCACAATTTTTGTGCGTTTGTGAAGAAAGAGACAGAGGTAATGAAGGGAGCAGGATAAAGAAAGCGAGGGAGGGAGGAAGTGAGCATGCCGTGTGAGAGCCTGCACTCGTGTGGGAGAGTCCATGGGAGGTCTCTGTGCCAACGTTTGTGGGCAGACAGACCCCGAGGCAGAAGAAACCATCAGATCCACCGCATCAAAAAAAAAACAGCTATGTTTGTTGATTTCCTCGTGTGTGACTCAGTTGTGTTGTAAATCTCCAGTGACATTATGCAGCATAATTGGAAAGACTTCTTCAGTGGAGCAACAGCTCCTGCTTTCAAGAATCCACCTTAAACAACAGAATTTAGAATCGACTGGCGATGTCAGGCCAAGAGTCGGCTCACAGGGGAAAGTACAAGGTGTACAAGGAAGACAGGACAAATTAGAACAAAGCTGGCATTGAACACAAAGCCTGGTGTGTTAACTGGATGAATACCACAGTTTAGTCTCCTCTGCAGCTTTAACTGCAGCAACACCTCAGCTTCAATCGTGCTAATTTTGAAGTGATATATATATATATCACTTCATACGATAACTAATTACAGCACTGTGCTTGTATGCCACAGACAACCACTGTAGATTCAGTCTACATTCATTGTTTCCCCACTCATTTGAGGTCACTGTGACCTTTGACCACTGAAATCTAATCAATAAAGCCAGAGAGGGCTAAATTTGAAGATACGTGTCTAAGTGAACACACACCAAAGATGAATTCACGAGACAAGAAAGGGTTTTGTACGGTCCCTGTGGCCATGAACTTTGACCTTTGACCAAACAATCTGATCAGGTCATCTTTGAGTCCAAGTGCATATTTGTCCCAAATTAAAATCAGTTCCCGAGAGGAGTTCCTATATATCGTGTTCACAAGGCGAAAATCGAGTTTTGAGAGGTCACAATGACGTTGACCTGTGACCAACAAAATCTACTCAGTTCAGCCTTGACTCAAAATGAAAGTTTGAACCAAATTTGAAGAAATTCTCTCAAGGCGTTCTAAAGATATAGTGTTTATAGGAAAGGGACGACAGACAGATGGACAACCTGAACAAATTATTCTTAATTAAAGTTCTTTATACATTTGGTTATTTGTGTTTTGTGTTTATTTAGTTATTTATAGTTAGAATTTATGTATTAAATTGTAAAATCTCATGTCTCATTAACATTTCTTTGTCATAATTACTAGTCATAATCATTGCCAATTGTAATATATTTATATACATCTAGATATATATGTTTATATATATATCAGCATCAGCGGCCAACAATCCATTTGAATTGGCCTCTCGTTATGTTTTGATGACACTCATTTCCATCTGTTATTTTGGGAAACTATAAAAGTCTGAGGTGTTGCCTGAGGTGTAACTGCCGACTGACGAAGCTTTGGTTTCATCGCAGAATGTCTGACAGCTCACTAGGTTGTGTAATCGGTAATCAGGGCTGATGTGGTAGTTTCCTCGATCCCCACACACCTGAGCAGGGAGATGTCTGATTATGCGTGGCCCCTCTGACATGCTGTTCCAGCAGCTGTTGCCACAAGCGCTTCTAAAAGCCGCCCTCCTCCCCTGAACTCCCTCTCTCTCACTCTCAGAATCCCTGCCAGCGCAAGCCTGTCTGTCTCCACTGCCGCAGTGTTGTAATCTATTATACATCCCTTCTAATGAAAACATACTTAATTCATAATGTTTATTTCAGGAGAAAAATGGCTTGTCAACGTAAAGAACAGACCATTACAGGAGCGCTGACAAAAGAACCTGCGTTACCCAAGCAGAGAGGAAAAGACTCATTTTGACAATGAATTACTGTTTGAGGCGAGCCGAGGTTTGACACGTTCAGCTGACCTTGCACAGAAACGACGACGTTCCTTCTGCTTTCTATTCCCAGAAAACATATCTATCACAACACACCAACTGAGGTGAAAGGGTCGACCTCTACGCGGAGCATAAGCCAAAGTAATTAAACTACAATTATGTTTGAGACAGTTAGCTGATGTTCACGTCAAGAGTGATTTACAACGAGAACAGAAATAGAATAAGCTCAGTGAATATGTCGCTACACCAATAAAGACAAAACTGCTGCTATTGTTGTGGGTCATAGTGAAGTTACTGACGCACTGGGTCAATTAATAAAAGCACAATAAAGAAAGAATTAACGTAGAAAGAGTAGTAAAAATAGAGCTAAAGCAGGAACAAAGGCCGTCATGAAATGAGATGATTTCACTCCGACTGGAATTTTTTGTTTTTAACGAGGCCGACAACGACAGAGTGAGTCAGAGAGCTGGTGTACGCTGATGACCTGAGAGCTGATTGGTTAGGATACAAGGCCCCGGTTCAATGGCTGACTGGACCGTTTGCTGAATACCAATCCCCCTGCTCTTCATCTCTTTATTTCCTGTCTGTCGCTTCTTTATAAAATCAAAGTAAACCCCCCCCACTCTCAAAACATGAAAGCTGTTGGAAGTTATTATTGTAATACATGCACATACATGTCTTACAGACCTGAGGGAGACTTCAAAACCTACAAGACCGGGTGTTTTTAAAGGTCATGTGTTAAAGTAAATGTATAGTGGTTGAAGGTTTCCATGTGGGCAACTTCTAAATCTATATGTCAGTGTTTATAAATGGGTGTGTGTGCATGAATGGCAGATGAGGAACAATTAGCTGCCGCACGGTTGAGCAGTTCATGTGTTTCATAACGAGACTCTTCTCAAAAACCCAGAATAACATTTTCTTGTTGTACAAAACAACACTTTAAGTCGCTGTTCCCCCATAAGATTACATTTTTTAAACCACAACAATCCAAATGAAGAGGAAGTTGAAGAGGGAGACAGGTTCTGTAAAGTGTTGTTCTTACTTTGGGGAGGTGCCGCTGCGGCTTGTTGGATCGCAGCCGTCTCCTGGCTCAGCTTCTTCTTTGCCTCCAGGACCGGGTTCTCAAACTGGGTTTTCTGGTTGATGTGGCTGCAAAGAAAAACAGACTCAGGTTTTAAGCCCTGTTGAATTTAATCTGCTTCAAGTTGCACAAAATCAAGATTCAGAAATTGTTCTCTGGGAAATTGATTAAAATGTCAAAAAAGGCTCGATCTCACAATTTTTAAGAACGTAAAAGAGAATTCCTGGATCTACACCAAAATTTAATGGCTTCTTTGTTGGGTATTGACTCGGCCCTCAACCAAATGTCACAGAAATCTGTTGAAAAGATTTTTGCGTAATCTTGCGCACAAACAAATAAACCAACAAGCAAACGGGCAGGAGTGAAAACATAACCACCTTGGCTGAGGTAATTAAGTGTACAACGCAATAACATGGGCAGAGAGGGGAGGGGTCTGAATAATTCCTGAGGCCACCACACACACACACACACACACACACACACACACACACACACACACACACACACACACACACCTCTGACTTATTGAGCCGACTGCATCATTATTTCTGCAATTAATTATGCATACACCTTCCCAACACAATTTTCTATTAGTGGCTTCACTATAAATACATTCAAACACACAGTATTCATACAGTATTATTGAAGGCTGGCTGACCTCCTCTTTATGTGGGGCAACTACAATGACTTTAACCATTAAATATTGTAGGAAATAATCCTGCCACTACAAAATACGGTAAACAGCCAGTTGTTCCTCTGACATACAAACCACAGCTGTTATTTCACAGTGAGCTCATTCCAGGCTCAAACACTGGCAGCTCCGTGGTCTGTCTGTGAGCTGCAGCTTCTCTATACGGTGCAAGTTTCTCTCTCATGTCACATCCACTGAGGAGGGATATGTCTGCAGCCTGAGCAGTAAAACAACGTGAGCGTCCCCATTTTCTTTTCATCACAACAGATTGCCACCTCTCCTTGGAGCCCCTCCCCACTCTATTCCCTCCATGCATGCTAGTTGAAAATCTCTCCACTTGTCTCTACGCTGCTGTTACGTCGGCTGCGTGACACTGACTCAATTTTCGCATGCCGACAAATACACAGACTCTATGCAAGGGTGTATACTCTGTACACATGCTCGGTTAGTTACACGAACACTGGCAACACACAGCGAGAGCCCAATCAGCCTTTTGCTCACACACAGGTCACTGCAGTGATACCCGCCGAGTCTCATTTTGCCACCCACTGATAAACAAAACGAGAATCCTCATCAGAGCATTCGACTGTTCTCCAGGTAAATGCTTCCTCTCTGCGTGTTACATAACTCGGAGCATCCTCACTTCAGATGAACAAAACGAGCCTTGTGCCAGATCCATTTGTTTATTTTGAGACTATTGATTTATACCAGTGCACTGCTAATGTACACTAAGCAGTGTAATATGCACTTGTGCCGCCGTCCCCATGGTGAAATGTGCTTGCGTGCATCTGTGGGGAACAAGTGTGATATAACAATTTACACCGTTTGCGATGATGGTAAGCGGAGTGCTGGGAAATTACATACAGCTATAAATCAATAAAACTTACTCCACGTAGTATGTGCCGTACTGTGGATCATCAATTTCCTCCCAGCCGTAAGGCAACTCTGAAAAAGAAAATGGTGTTACAGTGTGTTGTGGAAGGATGCAAATGGGGAGCATGCACATTAAGATAACATGAGGGCAGAAAGAAGAGGAAGAGAGAGCACAGTATTTGATCTGTAACCCATACAGTTACCAGTGTATTCTTCTCTCTGAGATGCTTAAACCCATTTTCCTCTGGTCAAAAACCAACAAACACCTGCTCACACCGAGCTTTGTCCGCAATGGAAATGGATACAATCTGGATGGATACAAACTCCCAGGTCAAATGATTCGGAATGGCTCCGACTACAATCGGTAGTGATGACAGGTCATCATCTTTATTTTGGCACTCTAGATGCAGATGCTGCACTTTATCTGCACAATGTTATAATGCATATCGAGCTTGCAGGCGTTGGCACGTAAATAACCGTGAACGTTTGTGTTCTTATTGTTTTTTTACTTCTTGGAAACATCGTGCATCGTGATTTTTGTCATCATATTGTATAAAACATGATACAACGCCAAGAGTCAAATCATGACTCACCGGAGGAAAACAGTCAGGAAAAAAAAATCCTCTACTGAAAATGGGAAAGGAGCAAATGACCTTTGTATAAAAAAACTGCACATACCTGCTAATTTTGTGGTAAAAGAGGTTCTAGTATAAGAAAGGAGCCATGAAAATAGGCTGCAGTAATTCATTGAACATTTCAACAAGCAGGCTGATGTATGTCATGCCCTGATGAACATATCATGCAGAGGGGGGAGAGGGAGAGAAAAGAGCTCCTTATGCAAGAGAGAGCTTTGGAGTTGCTTTTCAGAGGCAACAAACCAACTGGCTTTCTGTCCGCCTGTAAAAAATCCATTAAAACCAGGCTGGAAGGGTCCCACTCTTTCAGCCGTGGCCACTCACTGTCTCTGCCTGCACTTAAGCCCACATTAGCATCCTGGGGATACAAAGGCAGGTCTTGAATCCCTCACAGCAGACCCCCCGCACTAGATTTCAGAGAAGCCGCTTGACTTGACTGTGACGTTGAGGGTCACTCTTGGGTGACGTGTCATTGTCAAAGAGCAGTTACGCTGTCTTACTTTATCCTGGCCGCTTATTTGATTAACTGGGTGAAAATGCACGGGGTGATGGATCATGTAATGTACGGCAAATACACAGGAGAGGTACGCCCTTCTGCAAATACATGTGCAGCAGTTAATGGAATGACTGCACGCTTGAGTAGACGAGCTGAGTGGTGCAGTCTACATACCCCCATCCTCACACTTCTCAGGGGGCTTCGCCTTCTTTGCCAAGCGGGGGTCCAACCACGTAGTCGTCTTGGTGTTGTGACTGTGGAGCATAAAGAGCAGCCAGGAGACGTCAACAATGAAGACCTGTGCCAGCAGGGAAAGTGCTGCTGAAACCAAAGAATATGCCAAAGCAGGAAAAAAACAGCAACTGTGTCTCATGCACGCGGGATACTGGCTTCATTAACAAACATCTGATCCATCGGTTTATGTTCAGCTGTCACACTATCGTGTTCATGGTTAGGTGGGCTTTTCAGAAGAAGAAAAAAAATCCTCTGAATGTGAAACACAACAAACTTGTTTAATCTCAGATGTGTTTACCAACTGGGGGGTCTAATCAGGAGGAAAATCACAACGGTCTCCTGATATCATCAGAGACAAGTGTCTTTGGGTCCTACATGAGGAAAACACACAGGCTCGCACGCACGCACTGGCACATGTATGTAGGTTCACCCGCACACATAAAAACAGGGTCCCATTTAGGGGAAATGGTCTCAGACTTTCGGACCCCATTAGGCCTTGGAGAGCTTTGTTTACTTTGCTCTGAAAGCTGAGTATTGATTGGTTGAGAGGAAGAGCTTAACGTGTCCTTATAAAAACCTGAGAGTTTACAGCTGTGTTGTCTGGAAATAACTGTGGCAGTCAATGGGAGACATTTTCTGAGCTTTATTTAAACACTGTAAGTGGGTCCTAGAAATATTTCAACAGCCCATGAGTGTGTTTACTGTACCCAGGTCACTCTTTCCTTCCATTCCATTTTCTGTCACTGTGTTACTGCTGAGTAGGTTTCTTTTTCCTATCTTTATTCAAGAGTGTGGTCTTTCAGTTTGAGAGCTGGATTTCACCGTCAGATTTCGCTAAGCTTATACTCAAAAAAACATGTACACACACTAAAATAGCCCCTGCTTGTGCTTACATTTGCTCTGCTTGTGCTCAAACTGTGTGCTTGCACCCAGATATTTTGCTGCTTGGACTCCAGCTTTGGTCAGCTGTTATTCTCATGCTCATGTTACATATCTCTCGCATTTCTCTTCCAGAGGTAGTGATGATTGTTGTGTGCGTTACGTTCAATGGGAAGCCGGTGTAATAATAAAGCTGTGGATGGGGGCACTGCTTGAACCTGGTTAAAGTAACCTCTGTATGGGACTCGCAAAGAGGTCAAACCTAACAAAGCTTCAGCACAGAAAATCCGTCCAAGCAGCAAAATACAGTATTAGAGTGCAAGCATGCAGATTGAGCACAAGAGGAGCAAATCTGAGCACAAGCAGGGGCAATTAATATATCAATAAGTCCTGCTCTCACACTGAAACACCACACTGCAGAAATACATCATCAAGCTGCTATATATGAAAAAAACCTGCTGAGAAATGATGTAACTTGTCCATCAAACTCGTCATTAAACACAGGATCAAACCTGACCCGACTGTTTGGGCTGATCAGATGCTGGTTGGATGCCGACAGAAACATTTATGTGTTTCATTATGCATAAAGAAGATAAACACAGTAAACACAATGCTGTATGACATTAGACATACAAATATCAATTTCATTTTTAATATCACAACGTGCTGCGTCCTCCACTGCAGCTGGAGGAGGACACACTTAACATAAGCAACTCTCAAGTCGTCAGTCGGCCTAATTCTCAACACTTATCATCCAGAACATAGACTGTGCTACACCTGCTGCATCCTAATCAAGCTAAAGTCAACGCTAATGTCTGCAGCTTTCTCTTAATCACAGTTTCTGTTACAGTACAACTGTTATTGTGCTCCGACTCCAGGACCAGCGGTTCATGCTGGCAGCATCAGTTCACATTCACATTTATACAAGAAACGCATAAACAAGTCATTTTCTAAAACAGCTTTACTCACACAGGAGTCATTTGCATTGCGGCTGCAGATAAATATTCATATATTGCAGTGATTTATGGCAGCAGACCAGTTTACGCTTCATGGTTTATGTTCATGGTAATGAAGGAACTTTTCAACCAGTGCAACGTTGTACCTCACTGATTTTTAACAGTGTTTGGCTCCGCAGACAATTCTATTTTTAAACACCTTTACTATTTGAATGTCTCATATATACACCTGACATTTTTATTTGATCCAATTCTATCAAATATAATAACTGATTATCAAAAATGCTTGTTTCAGCACATGACCCATGGGTTGCACTTACTCTATGAAGTAGACCATGCCGGTCTCAGTGTAAGCCATCTCCCAGTTAAGGGGCAGCGGCTCCAGGCTGTCATCGCGGGGAAGAGAGCTCCATGTGCGGAAGTCCATGGAGCTACTGGACTGGGTATAGCTGGGCACCGCTTTCCTCCAGTCCGCCCTCTCTTTGAGCTCTGTGATAGGAGGAGAGGAAGAACAGATTAGAAGCAGAACGGGGCAGAAGGTTAGGCTGTGTGCACACCTCTGCCCCTCTGTTTCCTGCTCGCGAGGGCTGATGTCACTCACAGCATTTACATGTGAGTGATGGTGCGTGTGTCTTCGCCAAAGCGATGTTGTGCATTTGCATGTGCACACTGTGTTAATGCTCTGGCCTATGTGTATGTGTGTTCATTCCCTGCAGGCTGTGATGATGAAGGCAGGGATTCATATTATAAAAAGGGCCATTTGAACCCCCCGGGGCGGTTTCTTTATGATAATATTATACTGCTGCTTTTCACATACAATATATTCCGCTGCGTCTGTAGTCACTCCCCTTTAATGAGGAACTGCGCTACGACGAACATGAAGCGCACAACAAAGGCCCCTCTAATTCACTTAGCACTTCATGCCTTCCCTCAGAAGATGGTTATAAAGGGATGAAACACGAGGGCTTTTCATCCTTTTCTTTTTATGTGAAGCTAACCTCCTCACAACAGAGGACAAAGCCAAAAGATGTCATGCACGCTTTAGAAAAAAGCTTTTCTGGGGGATGCATTTCCTAAACATCATTCCACCTGAATTTTACATTGTGTATGAAATTGTTCTAAATTAAAGCACGCAGCCCCTCGGCAGCATCAACATGTTGGTTACTCTCTAAAACTCTTTCTTTCTTTCTTTTTTCTTAACTTTGCTTTTCTGATTAAAAACAGCGCTCTCCATATTTAAAGACACAACAAACACACAGAAGGAATACACACAGTGTGTTTGAAGACACTGTGCGGCAGCCGTGTAAACACTAGGAGAAGCAGCCCGGGGGCATTGCCTTAAGGAGATCTGAGGTCTTCTGTAAGGTTCACTGCAGGGTGAGGGCCCACTTCACGTTAGACACAGATGGGTTATAGAGGGACTGCGGGTGGAGGGTCGGAGGGTGGTGGTGGTGGTGGTGGTGGTGGTGGGGTGATAAGGACACTCTAAGCGAAAGATGAGGCAAGCTGCAGTCTAGAGACTTACAGCTCACATTTTCCATTAACCTCTTTTTTCATTCGACCGTAAACTCTGTCCATCTATGGCCAGTCTGAGACTTCCCTGCCACAGCTGTGGGCTGTAGCAAAGCAGTCATTTGTGACCGGTTTCCTTCCATAAAAAGAACTCCTGGATGTCTGGGCATCACTTTTTTGTTTGATTTCAATATGACAGAGCAGTTGGGTAAACAGACTTTGGATTTCTGCGAATCCTTTGTGCAGCTGAGCAAGCAGTGTCTAAGCCTTGACTGTCAAAACTGTGTTTCATTATGTTAAAAAAAAGGAGAAAAAAATCTGCCTTGAGTTGCCTAAATTTCAACCCCCGCTCTCTTTGTAAAGAAACCCAGATATGGTGCACTGTGTGCAGCCTATTTCTGGTGCACAGTTGTGAGCATTAAGGACAGATATGCTCCTCAGAGAGTCGGGGGTTGTTCTGATTGATCACATTCACTGTGTCCTGCTCCGTGGATCAGACTTTCTCAAGGTGATCTGTGCTACTGTATGTGAGCTGGTAACAGTAACAGCATTGCAAGTGGAACACTTCTTAACAGTGTAAATATCACATTAGAAAATGTGAGTCAAAACTGTCACCTCGGAGATAACAAGCGCTACACTTACACTTAAAATAAATTAATTTCAAGATCTCGGTCCAGATGAGATGAGAGGTTTTCTATATCCATAATAACACACCTGAAAATGCATATCAAATGACCACTGGGCATGCCGGTGTAAACAGGAAGAAGATCGTCTACTCTTGGTTGCAGAAAAATACTAAAAATGAGAAACAGCAAGGGCAAAAAAGTAAGACCAGTGATTTCTGATATATTGCATCAGGTCAATGTGTCAACATGTCTACAACCTATGAGTGATTTCTATGGTTAACTGGGAACAATGAGAAAAGAATCAGATTTGTTCTCGTTAGTCAGGTCCTGTTCCAGTATCCTTGGACTGGTTGTGACTTTTTCTCAGTTCCATTTCAGAAGAGAAATCTCTGCTGTGAGCACCACAAACAAAACTCTCGGAGATAAAAAATAAAATTATGTAAAAATCTTCAGATTATCATCACAGGTTGATATCAACAGTTATTTGAGTGATATTTTGAGTGAACTGGTCCTTTAAATATTATTGCATTTCAAACCATTTCAGTCTCAGGTTAAAACTTAAGCACAAAAAGTATTTTCAACTGACTTTTAAAAAGCTTTGACCAAAAGATAAATTTCACGTGTAACAAATCTCCCTCTTCTGGCACCTAATAAAGAATAATAGTGTAAAAAAACATTTGATCTGGGTCCACAAAACAGCACAACCTTGACTGACACATAAATGATAAGTGGATGGGACAAGTGTTTAAGAGAGATCATCAATCTGCTCAGAAGGTCAAGGTGAAACAATCTTTTAGTGCTCTTTTATGTTACGTGTTGAGATTTACAGAGGTGTCCTCAAACACATCAAACCGCAGACGGTCCACAAGTCTTTATGTCTCACAAGAGAAACAGACAGTGACAGTGACCTGACATGACAATGCCACAACCAAAGGACAAAGAGAGCAAGGGAGAAATTCTGTTATTTAACATGACATTTTGTCGTTTACTGACCGGGCAATCCATTGACTAGCGGTGGCCTGTCGTCATCGTCTTCTTCCTCAGGGACTGCGCTGTCCTTTCTGTCCATCTTGCTAACTGAGGTGGTGCGTTTTCTGGGAACGTCACCAACGTAGTCTTCATCAAACAGCACCTGATCCACCAGGTCAGGCTGCACCAGGTTGGGCTCAGCTGGAGGTTTGGGAGTCCCATAGTAGTTACCTTGGAGAGCAAAAGATGGAGAGAGGAAGAGAAAGAGAAAAAGAATGAGAGAGAGTGAGGCCCAGAAAAGAAAAGTGCAGAACATTTGAGAACTAGAATTACCACCCTACGTTTGTATGACTCCACATACATTTTTTTTCCAGACACACATGAGGTCAATGTAACCTTTGACCTTTGACCTCTGAATTCTAATCAGTTCATCCTCGTGTCCAAATGACAACTGGTCACAATTTGAAGAAATTCTTTTAAGGCAGATTTGAGATTCATCATCAAGAGGCAAAAACATGTTTTGTGAGGTTACGATGACTTTGACCGTTGATCACTCAAACCTATTAAACACATTTTTCAGTTAAACTGAAAATTTTTACTATATTTGAAAGAATTCTATTGAGGCGTTCATATGATAATGCGTTCATGAGCCTCATGAACGCATGAACGCCTCATGAATAGGGTTTGTTAGGCCAATGTGACCGTGACACATTGAGAGATCACGTTCACAATGCAAAAAATGTCCCTTGACCTTTTCAAAGTTGACCACCTTGAGTCCAACTGAACGTTTGAACCAAATTCAAAGAAATTCCCTCAAGGTGTTCACGAAATATCATATTCACAAGAAAGGGACAGACTGACAGACAACCGCCTAAAGGCATAAACTGTACTGTTTATATTTGAAGAAGATGCAGTCAGAGAGATTGTCCACCGTATCTAACACGACTCCAATTCACCTGATTCAAAGCAAAACTGAATTCTCTAAATGACACAACCGGCACTCATGACTATTTTCATGCCTTCATAGGTCTGATTCCTCTGCATGACTTCCATGTCTCTTAAACCCCTGCTTTGTTTTCTATTGATAACCGCACCACAGGCCTGTCATGACTCATGTAACATTAAAATCACTTCACTTGGAATTAGCCTGCAACTAATTACACTGATCATTGAATACAGCAATTATCTATCTCTCTGCTTGCTTTCTTTTTCTCCCTAAGACAAAAAAACCTTGTGCGATAGATAATAATTATTCTGTTAGATAACAACAGAGAGAGAGAGACGAGGGGGGAAGAGGAGGAAGAGGAAGGGAGTAGGAGAGGAGGGGTGTGGGTATAAAAGTCTGTTAAATGATTTGCTCGTTTAGCTCATGGAGTGATTCATATATGGCTGGTGAGCAGTATGTGAAACTCAATTTAGTCACAGAAGAAAACCCCTATTAGGATTATACATAATATGCATGCTAATATATATCTCTAAGATTGTTTGTTTGGTAAATGCTCCTCTGTCAGACGTGCTCGTGCAATAATATCAAATTAACGTTTTTGCATTTAATGTGTATAAGGTCAAATATTTACCAGGCTCTTACAATGTGCGCTCATCAGATGGAGCATACTCAGCGAAATCACGATTTATAATTAGATTAATTAAAGAATAGGGAGAGGTGCCACTGGGAAATGGGGATTTTCAGCAAATTAATTAGCCTCCATAAACTTGATCTTATTTTCATTTTGGACCCAGCTGTCTGCGGGACCATGGTATTATGAAACCTTTGATGTACTTAAGCGTGAACATGCAGACATCACAAATGCTCCGACTGTAAAAGAGCAACATTTATCGGCTCAGATCTTTTTATAGCTCGGCACAAAGAGGGAAAGCTGACAACAGCATGCGTGCCAGGAAGAACAGAGGGCTCCAAGGAAACATCAGAGTCATTCCGAAAGCTTTATGGCACGATACAGTGACACCACAGCAGCTTTTTTTGGGGAGGGGGGTATGCGAGCCCATCTCGATGCCTGGCCTCATCTCCTCGGGCGTGACGACAACACAATGCACAGCGAACTGGGTTAATGCAGCTACGCTCATCTTCCTCAAAGCAGCGGAAAGGTTGAGGAGGAAGAGGCCGGATGAAAGCCGGCCCCTCCCCCCTTGTCACTTGACTTGACTGTTTATGAAGCGACACTCATCCGCATTTGTCAGAGATGTCTTCATTAACATGGGGCGGCACGGCGATAGCAGAGAGAGATTGGGTTTGCTGGCTAATCTATGCCCGTCTCCTGCTGCACGTTGACATTCATCAGCCAGACGCTATACCTCTGTGATTAATTACTTACAAACACGTCTCCTGGCCCCTAATAAATGTGTGTTGCAGATGTAGAGGTGTGTCTGTGTGTGTATGTGTGTGTGTGTGAAAGCAGCGTGTCAGTGGAGATTTGTGGCACTATTTGCCGTTACAAATGGAGGGAAGCCTCATAAGCTGATGAGCGGAGGAGCTCTTCAGACATTACTTGTGCTTCTTGTGTCACAGGGTTGATGAGCCAGGAAGAGTGAGCCTCCTCTTTCAAAGTGCGTGCGAGCAATTTCATGGTGGTGAAATCAGCTAGTAGTAATGAAAGGACTCCTGTTGTCAAGGACACTATGCATATGCTGCTCAAGGTCACGAGCTCTCTTTCATCGTGCCAAGATTGTGAGCAGGCAGTTGCACAGCCACACAAGGCATCCACCCAGTATCAACACATCACCACTAATGAGTGAATCATATACCCTCGCATTCACACCCAATATAATCTCCATGTCAGTTTTCTTTCCTCGTTAAAATCAAACTCATGATCACAAAGGGGATCCAAAAATACCAGGTTTGAATTTAAAGTTGATTTGGTAGAATTGTGTCTTCCCTGAGTTTTCCTGGCAGCTGCCCCTCCAGTCTCGCACTTCACTGCACTGGACTGTTCAGTTCTTGTCCGGTTGATCTGTGCAGCTCTGAAAGAGTGACCCAACCTGAACCTGGGAGGCACTGAGACAGAGAAGGGACCTAAAGTCCAGAGAGACTCGCTGTCAGCGCTGGGCGCAGATGGATGATGTCTGCTTGGCCGGCAACCTCGGACCCTGTGGACCACCATGGAGCAGCCTGGATGTACCTTACCAATCATGGAGCCGCCTGGAGCCACATACACAGTCTTGCCTGGCTGGGTATGTCAGGGAGACTAACAGGGTCATGAATGACAGGATCATTTAGTAAAGAGTCGAAGAGAGAGTGTTTAAGTTGAAACTGTGCAATACATTAAATGACGCCCATAAAATATTTTCTGAGGAGAGAAAAACTGTACATGAAGCATTAACATAATGAGCATTAAGGCAAGTCATTTGGGACTATTAGAGAGACCATTATGATTAGCTAAGAATCCCATTAGCTTGCTACCGTGAGCACAGCTCACTTACTGTGCACTTATAAACTGAGGGTAATTCATGAGCTCCACACAGATGAAATACAGCTCATGTGACCAGGACGGCATGACGCCTGCCCTTGTTTATTTTCATTTTCTCAAAGAAAAGAAAAGGCTGCATTCGAAGCACAACTCAATGGAGTTAATCCCATTCCTCCATCCGATTACTTCCAGCTCCTCTTTGAGTTCACTGTATTGCTGAGAGATCAACACGCTGCCACAGTACAGCCATGGAGCGCTAGAGTGCTGACTGGGTTTCTGAAGAAGTGGAGTGGAGGGGAGGGGAGCACTATCAGAATGCTCAGCTCTCTCGCAGGGATGGTAGACTGAAACCTTCCAACTTTTGAGAAGCTAATCCACACAGCTGCGTGCAGCCAAAGCAGCCCTGCTTCCACTGGAAAGGAGGTTTCCATTGGGAACTGAGGAGCTCAGAAAGAATCTTTATCAACACTCTCTCTCTCTGTTATATGCTCTTCCTCAGTTTGCTCTGCTCTCTGCCATAGTCAACCTCTCTATATAGGTGTAAATCCTGCCTGGCTTCAGCTCAGAAGAGCTTGTGGGCGACTTGGCAGCTCTTGAAACTTGATCTTCGTGTTCTTAGATGAGCCCCGAAGGACACAAGGAAGGACAGGATTTATTTTGTGAGCGCGGATGTATGATTGTGTGTCCATATATGTGTGTTCCTGTGCACGTGTTGCATCCAATGTCATCAGCACTGTGCAACAAAGAAGAGGGCAAGAGGGCTGGCACCTTATCACAGGAATCAGGGACTGTTGGGAGAACCTGCCTCAACAGGCCCATCACACTCATCAAAATGTGCACTTCACCACCCACACACACACAAAACTTCCACAGATACACAGAGGCAGCAACACACTTGTGCGCACCCAGAGCTGCTCTCAGCCTTAAGGCGCTTTCTCTCTGAATGAGGATTTGACTTTATCTTTTAATTCTCCATCATACAGGAAGCATGAGATGCAGCTGAATGGGAACGGGGAGAACGGCGCAGAGAAGGTCCATTCACACGACCAGAGCTTGCCCCTCAAACATTTAGTAAAATCCTCTCCCATTTCACAGCGGCTCGGATTTGCTGTGAGAAAGAATGAGCTTAAAGAGAGCAGTAAGTTTATCATATTATTGCCATAATCATTGAGCAAAGTAAGAGAAATCCTCTCGTGACACAAATACACTGCGGCTGTCTGAGTTTCAGAGACCTCAGAATGCAGGGCAAGGGCTTATGTTTCCCTGTGGCATAAGGTGTAAGAAATTGTAAACATGTGGCCGCTCTGTTGCTAGAACATCGCTCATTATGTAAACTTCTTCCAAGGAAGATATTTACTGCAGCTACTTGCTGTCAAAAATCAAAAAATCAGTTTTCAAAGCAACACTAGGGTTTTTATACCTTGGAATTAGAGATTCAAAATAATTTTTGATGGTACACAAACTTATAATAGGGAGAGTGGCGTGTCTGTCTTTTCCCACAGCGCCCCCTGGATGCCTGAAACAGCACTATGTAACTCTTGTGTACCACACTTGAAGATTTCAAAGTGCGCCAGAGCTATAAGAGACAGCTAGCTTGTCATTCTCAGTGTGGACGTCACGGCAGAGCCACCAAAACGAACGAGGAGGACATTGTTGGAAGAACGAAGAAGAAGAAAAGGAAAAGAGTAGGAAAAAAAAAACAAGAGTGAGTTCTGGAGCCTATTTCAATCATGGGAGAGAAATGAGGCCAGGATGTGCAGTTCTGCTCGCTTGACATTGGGATGTGTGAGTGAAGTCTGAATCATCAGAAGTCAGGTAAACCCATTCCAATAGAGGTTTAGTCAGTGATTTGAGTGCTCTGTTTTAACGTTTACTGCCAGGTCCCAAAACCCTTGTCAGACGACATGGTTCTTTAGAGATTTCTTCTCCATCAACTTCAAATGCCCATGTGTGCAGCTCGTATTTACAACAGTGAATTACACATCCCACCTGTAACGGGAGCCCGAGCACAGCTGAGAGCGAATCTCGCCTTATGTCACTTTATGTGAGATAAGTGAGGTACTAAGAGGGGTTGGTTGTACTTTAAACTGCTCTGAAGGTTCAAGTCTGGATTCTTGTTTCGAGCCAATTCTTAGTGGTTGTTGTGGCTGTGAGAGGAAAGAGGGAGAGGAAAAGGAGGAGGCTGGTTTATACCATGAATAAAGCATGACTTGAGAGTAAGAACACAAGTGGGACCTCCTGATGTGTGACTGTGCAGCCAGCCGGTGGGATCAGCAGGTTGACTGGTTTACATAAGGTCACCATCAGGTGCTACAGCTGCTTGCATGCTCACACAGTACGGTGTGAATACTTACTGTCGTCTGTAGTCAAGAACGGACAAAGAGGTGCTGACACAGACTCATGAAACCAGGATAAACTATTCTTACAGGACATGAGTAAACAAGTATGAGTGTGCAAGTAAATGTAAAGACACGCTTTACATGTGTTCGTGTGTGTTGAATTCACACATAAATTATTCACAATAGCTTTTTCTTAAGTGATGAGTACATCCTCCATTTGCTGCAATGTATTACTATCACTAGCACCTATATTTAGTATTTCTATTTATTGATATTATCTTGGTCTATTTGTATTTTGCTTGAGTGATTGTAAAAAAAAAAAACAATTCCCTCCCCTGGATCATTACAGTATTTTTGAAGTAAAGATACTTCACTTGGTCATTGTTTTGGCATTGACATACCACTTTATGTTAAGGTATTAAATTATAATATATAAATTATAGTCATGCCAATTCTGGTACTGGGATACAAAGATGTTTTCAAGTCCCACCAAAGTGATTACAGATTACCTGTAAACCCCTAATTTTGAATTACTCTAGAAAACTTGAGACTTTACTGTAAACAGTTATATTTAAATCTCTCAGCCGCCCATTCTACACACAGAGATAATCTGAACGGTGGAGTTTATCTCAAGTACTGCTGCTAATCTGACTGTGATTTCCAACAAGTCTTTAATCAGGTTTCACCGATCAATACATTTTGTCCCCCACGTCACATTTCATAAAGGGAGGCTGCAAGTCACGATGACTGTGAATATTGAGTTTTCACTCCATTACAGAGAGCTGTCAGTGTGAATCAGCCACACACACAGGTTTCTTATAACATCAACACTGAGGTGATAACTACCATCATAGGTCCCACTCTCCAGGAGAAGTCCACTCTCCTCCAGGATCCTGAAGTCTCCAACACTGATGAAGTTGTAGTCCACTCCTGGCACCTCCCCATCTCGAGGAAGCCGTGTGGTGCCTGGAAGAAGAAAAAAAAGAAAAGACAACTGAATAAACAATAAGCAACCAATAAGTAATAAGTTAAAAAAGATAGAGGTAGAAACTTTAGAGATTCTATGCAAGGCAACAGACTAATGATGTTGCATTGCGCTGTGCTTTTAGAATGTTTCTCTCAATCCATCAAGTGAGATACAAACAGGTACAAGGTTTTCCACATTTTTCACACATCAGGTGGCACCGCTCTGCTGTGACCCCGGGCTGCCTCGTGCTGCTGCTTCAGTGCTTTATTTATTTTTATACTTTTTAAATTGGATTTCATTTATTTATCTTTTATGAAGCAGGTGTGTATGCCAATTTGTATTATTAATGGCTGCAGCATAGATGAAGAGCCCAAGACAAATTTCCCACTGTGGGACAATAAAGTTAATCTCAATCTTAATCTTGGAAAAAAAAAAGCAAAATACAACCATTAAGCTCCAGTTCATTATTGAACATACTGGTCTTTCGATTTAGCAATGAGATGTGAGACATAACGAGTTTGACTGCTGAACTTGTTAATAAAAAGTTTTACTTCAGTAGTTTGAGAAAGTCTTTAAATGTACAAAATGTAACTTTGGCCACTAGGGGTCTCTCAAATCGAACAATGGCAAAATACCTAGTTTGATGGTGTCTTGAAGCAGTGAAGGATCATGGGAACAGTGCCGATGTTCAAGTTCATGAATAAGGTAACATATTAAGATAATTTATGTTACGCATTAAACGACAAGGTTTAATCGTGACCTATTTCGAGTGAATGAGACTAACAGTGGAAGGAAAAAAGAGATGACTGGCTAACAGGGTGTTTTTTCTATCTGCTAAATATATATTTCAGATCTTGTATTGTTTTGATTTTTATTAATTTTGTGAAGCACTTTGAGCTGCACTATGAGCTGCACTAACCTGTACAACAAGTTTGCTTGCTTCGTGCAGAGGATTCACTTTGTAACGATATCTTAATAATTTGTCTTTGTGCAAGACAAAATGGGTGGATGTTACATTTCGGGGACAAAATCTCAAAAAAGAACTTGGTGGTATCCTGTGAATCATGAATAATTGACATCGGCTTGCAGAGCAAAGATGGCGGGCGTAATTAATTGAATCCATACGAGTAACTGCATTAACAAGTTATGATTGCGAGGTTCTGGATGGCAACAGATCAAATGAAGAAAACAGTTGAGGTAAATTAGGGATATGAAACGCGATGAAAGCAGCGTGTTGTGTGACCTCCTGGTGCGGATGAGTTTCACTCAGTCCCATGAAGCAAAGAGTCAATGCAAATGACACGAGGCCATTCTGAGTGCAGATTCTGCTCCTGCGGTGAAGCCACAGTCTATTTCAACACTGATGGGAGTTCTCTTCCTCCCAGGATGAATATCCACCAGGCACAAATGGACACCAAATGATTGCATTAGCATGAAGATTATGTAAACCGTATTCCATGAATAAGTAAGTAGGGCCCTGCCACGATTGCACTCAAGGCTAATTAGGTGGTGCGCCACCAAACTTGTAAACTCCATAGAAATAACCGCAGCTGGACAGGAGGGACAGCAGCAGTTATTTATTGCACAGGGAGGCTGAACAAAGCCCACAGCACGAACCAATCATCTGAGCCACATTCCACAGCAATCTCTGTCACCTAAATTTACTGTCACCCATGGTTATGGAGCAAATACATCCATTCACTGGGCCTGGTGAATCTTTTTCAGGGTCATGGGGAGGACAGAGGGGTGTGAGCATACGAGGAAGTCGTTGAAACAACCCGGGCAGACCATCGGTCGATGGCAGCGGCTAACGTAAATAGTAATTTATATTCAGAAAAACAGGCAATTTAAAATCTCAGATCAACCCTATTTCAATGTCAGAGGAAATCAGAGCAGGAGCACGGCGGCAGCAGTAGCAGCAGTAGCAGCACAGGAGGCTGCAGACACAGAACAAACCCCACACTAACAACTGAGGCCAGGCAGTCTTACTGTGAGATGAGTCAGAAGCAAATAGTGTATCAGGATCAGAGTTTAATGATTAAATATTCTATCACACATTCAGGCAATGAGATCCTCAGTGTACCTGAACAGCAGCAGAGTCATTCATCCGTCCATCCATGTGGAGGAATTGTGTTATTACGAAGACGGTTGCAGTTTCTTTGATAATTGTTTCCTTGCATTTCTTCTAACAATTTATTTCATCAGAGAAGGTTGTGTTTTATCCTCCGTTCATTTGTTTTGGTTTTTTTTGTGAACCTGTTCAGGTTCAGTGGGGATCTGTATCAGGGGCGGATCTATGAATCTTTGCCGTTTCCTTTAAAGGTCCAGTGTGTAAGATTTAGGTGAAACAGAACTACTGGCAGATATTTCATGTAGAATAATCCTCAAGATGTTTTCACTAGTATATATTTACATCGAGGGGACCCTCTCTACGGAGGCCGCCATGTTTTTTACATTAATCCAGACTGAACAAACTAAACACCTTTTGAGTTTTTATGACAATTAATGTCTACCACAGGTTCTTTTTCATGTTTGGAAGGAGAGGGTGAGGGGTGTTCAGCTGCAACATGCAACTTCAACACTAGATATCACACAATTCTACACACTGTACCTTTAAAGGGACTGTTCGGCTGTGGAAGTACACGCTGTACTGAGAGACTGTCCCACCGCTTTGGCAGAAGTATGCTGTCTTCTTTAAACCATTAAAGACATCTGTTTGCGTGTTGCATCGTCAGACAACCGTAAATGGTCAATTTTGATATAACTACGATGGAATCTCTGGAAATGTATTATTGCATCCCTGAGCCGGATTTCCTGACACTTGTAGAGTCCGCGCCAATTAGCAGTGAAACCGCTCCGCAGAAGGTGATAGCCCAATGGCCTATTAAATAACTTTATGTTGCCATTCCCTTTTGTTTTTCCACCATTACATGTTCTCCCTAATTGGCCTGTGACAGTTCCCCTGCACCCGAGCAGAGGAGTAAAATCATTTAAAAAAAAACAAAAACCATCAGAGTGGCTTCCTTCCACAGAACGCCTTGATACCACAGTCTGTGTCACCAAAAGCAGTTGACACTGCATCGTGTGTGAGGACGCCAGCCACTGCTGCTTCTCATTACCAACTTGTCTGCCTGCCGGCTCTGGCTTTGGTCCATAAAAAATGTCCCCTGTAGCCCAATTACTTGAGCCACAGTTATGTACCTGCCAAGTATCTCCCTGAGTCATCATCCTGAGTGTCACACCGATATATACCATAAGCCTCCGATTGTGGATCAGTCGCACACAATATAATGAGGGCTCGCTGAGCTTTGAGGGTACAGCTGAGTGAAAGCAGCAAATCCTTTAAAGCAGAACTTTGTAACACCTCCTTGTAATTTCCTTTGCAGTGCAGACAATGACACTTTGGATAGGCCCTCAAATAAACTGTCAGAGACCCGCTCATTTACACAAAACATGTATATTGAGAGAGTGCAGTCCATCCACTACTGTTAATTAAACCAGACAAGAGAGGAGTTTGTATACAGAGACGCTTTATCAAAGAAACCAAAGATTTTCTGTCAGCGTATGAAGTTATACACACACAGTGTTGGTTAATACTGCAGGGGAGACAGCAGTGCACAGTATTTGGTGCAGCTACAGTATTATAGGAAAAACAGTTCGACATTTTTAGGAAACACTTGCTTTCTCGCCCAGAGTTAGATTAGATTACAAGATCAATACCAGTCTTATTGCTGAACAGTAAATATGAAGCTTCAGCCAGCAGCCAGTTAGCTTGGCTTAGCGTACAGAGGGGAACAGCTTGGGAGTCTGTCCTATGCCGACATAAAATCTGGCAAGAAGCACCAGGACTCACTAATGAAGATTCCAGAACAGAAAAATGACAGTACAGAGTTTTCTCTGGTAATCCAGACCTGAGTCTTTACCTCAATCAGAAACTGCACTGAACTTTCCACCTTCAAAACACTTCTCAAAACCCGTCTGAACTCCTTTTAATGTTTGATTATGACGTGTGTGTTATATATTTCAACGTGTGCTTATGATGCATAATTAATATTTATAGTTACTCGCTTTTATCTGCTTTCTATTTTTTTAAATCCTGTAAAGTGTCTTTGAGCATTGTTAAAAACACTAGACAAATAAAATTATTATTATTATCATCATTATTATAATTGATTTGTTTTTAATGTAATATTTGTTTTTATTATTTAATGACGCGCTGCATTTATTACGACAGGTAATAAAATGTATAATTTAAGGTTTAATAAAAAGTTATTCATGATTATTATTTATTATTAAGGCTGTAGTCAGGAGGATAACTTCATTATATTCATAGAAAACTGGTTGCATTTATGTTTCCGTATAAGCTGGAGCACATTAGTTGTCTACAAACATTTTATCTGTTGAAGACAGTATCGTCTCTTCTGAGCAAAAAGTATAATGTGAAGCTATTTGTTAAAATTTAAAAAGACTGTGTACTGAGGTTAAATCCACGTGCTCTGGACTGAAACTAATTTTCACTCCAGTCTTGTGAGGTCTGAGGCCCTGTGCTCTGCTGAGACCTACTTACTCGAACCCCCTGGACTGAGAGGATGTCACGACGGAAACATCAGAGCTACTCAGTCAGAAATGGCAGGCCATGAATTTAACATAGTGAATTTGAGCTTTTTTATGTTGGTTAAAAAAAATAAATAAATAAAAGATGGCTCGGGGCTTTGCTGTTGAAATGGCAAGAAAGAAAAGAGGGGAACACTTTTAACAAATGACTAAGGCTCACTGTGCCACTCTTATGTGCTGCGTTCTGTACCTATTAACATTTAACAAGAAATTATTTACAACCTTCTACTCTTTCATCCTGAAATACAGGAGCGATAAACTGTGGAAGAGAGGGAGGAGGAGCAAAAAGAAGCGATCTTTGATGAAATGGTAAAAGCATCTCTCGGAGTAGAAAGGTCACAGATTCGCCCCTGCATTACTGTGCATGTGTACCTGTGCCAACAGAGTGTGTGTAGCAGAGAGATAGAGCGTCTGCGTGAGATCAAACTCTTTCTGCCCATCTCTGATCTCAGTGGGGAGTCCAGGGACTGCATGTGACCCTGGGCTCTACGCCATCTAAGAAAAATCCTCGTCCCATCCAGGGCTCTAGGGAGCCTCCACAGGGTTTTCACAAGAAATCCAGATGAGACGGAGCCAATCCCCGAAAAACCCAGAGAAGGAGGCTCGAGCATTTACCACACACTGACCATAAAGACGTTGCTCCCCTCTGTCTCTGTCACTGTCTGTCCTTCATCTGTTAACATGAACTATTCAGAACTAAACTGACGTGAAAGTACAAACTAATACTTTTCACTTTTGCCGGTTGAGCAGAATTGACCCTGAGGTGTTGGGACACAGATCAGCAGCAGCAGCAGTGTAGCTTGTAGTTAACCAAAGTGGAGCACTGGCACAGTGACACAAACCATCTCGCCTAATCCTCTCTCTGTTTGTGTGACTGTCACACACATGTTGGGAGTTAATTCCATCCTCAAATATGCTTATTTAACACCAATCAATGTTTTTTTGTATTTTGTGGCTGCTCCCTCCACCTGTTTTGTCTACTTCTACCCGAGTATTGATTTCCAACCATGAGAAAATGTCCATTATTTGGTGCACAGCTCCTAAAAGATGAGGAGTCGAGCCTGAGCTGCGTGTTTCGAGGTTGGAGCTGCCATCGAGCAAAATAAATGCGGTGAGAGGAGGTAGAGTGAATTTGGGGAGTTGTGAAAAAGAAAAGCCCATTACTCAAAGAGCAGCTTGTCTTGTTGCTGCTCTCCACTGTGTTAAATGTCAGTTTGGCCTGTTTTCTGCCTCGTGTCCTGCATGTAGAGAAAATGTTTTTATTTGTGCTCACACCGAGTTGATACTCCCAAACAATGCTAAATTTCAAACTTTGTATTTTGTAAATATAGTAAATACTGCCGAGGTTAGCACTGTTGTCTTCCAGCGAAAAGGATCCCGGTTTGAATCTGGGGGTCTTTCTGCATGTTCTTCATGTGTTGGCATACATTTCCTCTGGGCTCTTCCTTTGTCCAACAGTCCAAAGACATGCAGAGACACTAAATCAACCGTAGGTGTCAACGTGAGAGTGAATGGTTGCTTGTATGTTGGCCCTGCGTTACGCTGGTGACCTCTCCAGTAACTCGCTTATGTCTCACAATGTCAGCGGGATTTGCTCCAGCTCGCCCTGCAACCCTCACAGGAAGGATAGATAATGGATTAATAGATGGATGGATGGATAGTAAATACTTTGAAGGACAGGTATGTGCAGTTTATATTCATTTGGTTGATGCCAGGGCTCAATATGGAATCAACAACCGCTCTGGATCAATTGAACATATAAATAATTAATGGATGAGCTCAAACAGCTCGTTTAAAATATTTGAGTCATTTAAACACAAAAACTCCAGGTTTATCCCTTGATTTGTTTTATTACCTGCTTATGGATTCTCTTTGCATTTTTAGAAAACCTTTCATTGCACTGTACAAAATTCAAGGATGCTAGGTTGGTTGCATAAATGTTAAATAAAAGTAAAAGGATGACATTGCACTATATCGTGCAGTTAATACAACATAATATAAGAAAAACAGATTTCAGCAGATGCAAAGGTCACATTAGTTATTGATTTGATGATGTACCCAAAAGAGAAAGCTGCATTCAGAAAGAAAAGCGGAATAAACCCAGTAAAAAAAAAAGGCAGGGAAAGGTAATTGAAACAGAGAAAGAGCGAGGGGGGAAACAGAGAGGGTGAAGGATGGGAGAGTGACAGCGAGCGAGTGAATGATGGAGGTGCCGTCACCGTGCGAGTCTGGGTCTCTTGCTCATTAAGACAGTAATTCAAGCAGGGGATTAGAGAGCCAGAGCCCTGCAGGGAGCCCACGAGCTGCCGATGATGGATGGTGGTTAGAGGCCGTAAAACCTCGAAGACTTTTCAACATGAAGAAAAATACAAGGCCACGTAGGCAGCGGTAGCTAATTCAAAGGTTTGTGTACAATGTGAGTGACTGAACACTGTGCAGGGAGGCCTGTGTGTATGAGAGCAAGTGTTCTCTGAAGAAAAATCATATATGTGTTGTTTGTTGCTTTGTAAAATCATCATCCACTGACCTGAGATAGTTAAAGTGCTGCTGAGCTTCAAGTTGAACTCCATGAAACAGCAAAACTCACAATGTGACTTACAGGAAGTATATGATGAAAGAAAGAGGGAGAGCGAGAAGAAAAAGGAAAATAAGAATATTCCCATCCGTGCAGAATGAAAAAAAAAATGAAGAAATTAAATATACATGAAAGGTAAGCAGCTTATTTCCTGAAAGATTTCACACTTGTGCATGCAAGTTCCCTCTGAACACGACAGAGCGACTCCCAGCCCCCGGGGGTGTGGAGAGCAGAGACGCTGCTTGTTTGTGACAGTGCTGTGCCTGAGAGTCTGTCATCGCCTCAGGAGCAGTCGCTCTGCATATGACTAAAACCTTGAGTACACTCAATTACGGCGCTCCTCTGAGCGGAGTCCGTCTTCGGCAGGACGTGGTAAATATTTAGGCCAACGCATCCAACTTTGCAGTTTCAGAATTGCATCAAACACTGCGTCAGAGTCACGTCTTTCAACTTGACCCAAGTCACAGTGTTTTGAAAATAATTTAGATTAAGCCCCTTTCTAAAAAACTCCACAGAAATGATCTTACCTTTTTAAATCAATAATCATCTTTGTGTAAAGGTAGAGATCTCGATAAGAAAGTGGCAGCAGACACATGCAGTCCACTTGAAAAAGTCTTCCCACTGCAGCAAGTCTTTCACCACTGCAGCAAATAATCTGCATTCTTGCAACCCACGCAATCCTTAACCAGCATGATGATCTGCACCTTAACTGCACTAAAAGCCTTGATGCTCTTTTATTTTGGTAATTTTCATGCTTTCATTTTCAGACATTAAAGCTCATAAATAACCTAAAATAAGGAGGAGCGTCAGGCTCTCAGCTGCAAGGAAGTGACATCTTACAGTTTGCCTGGTAACAGCAAATTATAGCCTACTGGTGTTCTCCAAATACTGGGGACATCATGAAAAGGTCCACTCTGTTGCTATTTTATGCAGCAATCTTAGCGACTATTATATCAGCAGCTGCTTTGTAGAGTTGATTCTTGATTTAAATAGAAGTATGCTGCAATCGATGAACCTGCACGGCTCTCGTCAGCGGCACCAACCTTTTTATTTACCGCTTCATTACTGGTCTCGGTAGAGAACAACAGTTTGTGATGTGCCCGCTGTGTGAGCGAGGGGAAGCGGAGCGGTGGAGAGCAAACACAAGTGTTATTTAAGGAAAGACTATGACTTTGATCACGGTGCTGATACGGCACAGGAGTAAATGAGCCGCACAGGGGTTAGAGAGATGTCCTTGGTTGGATTGCTATTATGGTGTGTGTGTGTGTGTGTGTGGGTGCGTTTTGAGGAGTGTGTGACAGACAGGTGTGAGAGGACGGGAATGTGTGAGTGCAGTGAGTGTGTGTGGTGTGTGTGTAAAGACCTACATAGCTCACAAAGAGAACGGATTAATGCTTCCTCCAGTGGGATGGATTTTTCTGCTGCGCTTTACACACAACATCCTCATTCTTTCCATATATACTGATAAAAACACATATGCACTGAAAGCAGGTTGTATTGTACGTTAGTGCTTTAAGGAGCTTTTAGAGTGCAGTGAATTAAGGAGTTGCTGATGCAGTCCTCCGCGATGTACTTACAGGGGATGGTGCGTAGGTAGAGATTGTCCCGGATGATCTGTTGGAGCTTGTGGTCCAGCGAGCCCTTCTGAAACTGCAGGCTGAGGTAGTGGCGCAGGTCCGAGTTCAGTACTTTACCTGCAGCGACACAGGCAGAGGGTCAATAAAAACATGCTGGCGCTCTCTCTGAAGTGTTTGTGTCTAAAAGGAAATCCATTGAAGTGACATGTACCCTCACAACATGATCAATAACAACCGACTAAATAAAACTCCTCTTCTACTTCACCAAACAGTTACCCCACTGCGCCAAGGATGTGACATGTTTGTGGCATTTTCAGATATTGAGAGGTTAACATCATAAAATGACGGTTTTCTCAAGGTTCAGTTCAAGACAGTTTAATCAGAGCCTATATCCACTATGGATTTTAAAAGAAACAGACAAATGAATAAAGATATTTAAAATGGTAATGACTCCTAAAATGTTGTTACCAAACCCTCACGACAAATAAATGTACTCGAGCTTGATGTTTCACCATCCATTTTCACAAAACACAAACACAACCAAATTGGATAATAAGGAATTTGGTAGTTAAAGATAGAGATTTTAGAAATGCACATCTTTTCTGCATTTTTTTACGCTGTGAAATAAATGTTATCAGTGCATATACACTGCATTTGTAATACATCAGCCTGCCAATAAATCTATCAAACCCTAAATTGTGTTCAAAGCAGGAACAAACAACATTCATTCATTCAGTCATTCTGTAGAATCCAGGCCACACATCAGGGACGTGACATTTTGACATGGATCCAGGATTTTTCTGGGGTATTTTTGCATTTTGCATTCATTCTCATTTCCCGTCGAATGATTCATGGAAATTGATGAAAAAAGTCCCACATGAGTGTTGAGCCTTGGCAGAGTTTTTTGCTCTACTTTAGTTTGATTGTGCGGTTTTTCATAAGCACCTTTCAGACTGGAGAAAAAACAAATTAATAAAACTCTCTCCAAATTAGTTGGATAAACTCATAGTGAATGAAATAAAAACCTCAAAAATATAAATGCACGGTATCGTTGTTTGGGTTTAACAAAAGGTTTCCAATCATAGCTGCAGTATTACAAGCATCACATAAGCCTGTATGTACAGTATGTGTGAACACCTGTTTGTTCCAACTGAGAGATTAAACCCTCGTTGATTCCAGTTTGATCACTGAGGGGATTGAGAGGGAGGATGAAGGTTTAACAGATTCTGAAATTTGGATATTTTCTGTTAAATCCACTTCAATCATTAAGGGTAAAATGGAGATTTAGGTTATAAGAGAGGTTACACAGGGACATTGGACAGAGAAACACTCTCAGCAACGTGCTGGATGTTTTTCTCACACTCTTTTAAAACAAACTGGACTGAGCTGATTGTAACCACTGCCTTCGTTTTCGATCTGAAATCCAAACTGCCAAGATGACGACTGTCTTAACAGTTTCACCCATAAACCACACAAGCCTCGGAAACTTTCCGCCGTAGATGGCTGTGCAATGCCGCAACCTCAAAACTCAGGCGGCAGCCGTTCCCGTAAGAAACTCTGAAGAGATTTCGCCTTTGCTCTCGCCTCCCAGAAACCTTTGTAAAAACAAAGAAAGTTCATCCAAAGTTTGAGGCAGAGGAGGAAGACTTCAGAGTTGTCACACACAAGCAGAGGAGAAAAAAAAGAACGAACATGATGAGGAAGTTTGGAAAACACGACGAGATCTTCAGCGTCTCAGCTTCAGCACGAGCTTCGCCTCTTCACAGAAGCAGCGGAGTCGGCTTTGAAACAGCTCGACTACAGAGATGTAATCACTTCTTCTCCATTTCTCTCCCTATTGTCTCTCTGCTGCACGCACACACAAAACTCTGCTCAGCAGGACGCCTCTCTGCATTGCTCTGAATACCAATCAGCAGGACTAAACACCAGATCCTGCCAGTGTGGACGTACTGCTCGTGCTAAGAGACTGGGGAGGTGTGCTTCACTATCCATGGGGAGATAGAATAATGAGAAACTCTGAGAATGTTTCAGGAAAAAACGTCAAATCCTCTTTTCCTCCTCACCTTGCGACAGAAACCAAAACACTGACAGTGCAGCCTTCCTATTATTTTGTGTTCTATACTTTCAGAGGCCGCCGCTCCCTCGGCTCACATCAAAATGCTCCTCATGTCCGCAGGCCTCGCCGCCATCTGACTGTGTTTTAGGAGCCGCCATCCCAGCGGGCTTGGCTTTTCAGAATAAAGGTTGCGTGTTCTCCGTCTGTCTCTCCAGAAAGGGTTGCGCTGCAGCTGGTGTGGCAGGCGAGCGGAGTGAGACTCGGGGAACGGAGGCCCAATCTGGCAATTCTATCTATGGTTTTGTTTCGAATTCAGCTCCCACACAGGGGAATTTACAGGAACATAAGGCAGTTTCAACAAAATACATGTGCTCCATATGTTTGTGAGGGATAGGGACATTCTGTGGCATCCAACGGAGGATTCAACAAAGTTAGCTTCAAAACGGTTTAACAGATTTGTTGACAACTTCAAGGTAATTAAATCCACAGTAAATGAGTTTATCATCATCAATCTGTCAGTTTTCCAGGGTCTAAACTTAAACACCCACTTTAGACTGTCCTGTTTGTTGCACAGTTAGTTTAATGCACATGAATTAAACACAGTTATCTGTAATTACTTAAGACAGGTCATTGTATTTTATTTCAGGTTGCCTTGTAAGAACTGGCGATAGGGACAGCAGAGCGATATTATCTTATAATTTTATATTATGGCTCATTTACAGTTTGTCTGTTGATTAATGAGCATTGTCCCTATCAAATAAATAAACAGATAAACACACTAAATGATAACAGCAAAGACAAGTGTGGTATTGAGAAAACCTTTTCCCTCTTTTAATTTCCTCCTCTTTAATATGAAGTGTCTTCCTTTTGCTTTTCTTCCACAAGGGCTTTCTTTTCTTTTCTGGAGCTGGGTCAGGAATCCTTGATGTTGTGGGTCTGCTGAGCCCACTGAGACCGTGCATGCTACCAGGGTGCTACAAATAAACTTGACATGACTCGTTTTTTGATCTTTTCCTCCGCTCAGAATCTCCCCGAGTGTGAGCCAATCACATCAAATATTACTGTGCACGTTGAACCCATAATGGTGGGACATAAAACTTTGCATTCGAGATGATGAAACTCTCTGTTTGATGATGAAAGCCTGCTAACATCCTCTTACTGTGGTTCAGAGCGCTTTGTAACATGCAGACACAAACACACACACACACACACACACACACACAGCAGAGTTGTGTGGCTGTACAATGGAGCCACCAGGTGTAAATGTGTCCGACTCTATAAGACAGCAGAGAGAGGATGCTCAGTCACACTTCACTGGATAAATAAAAGAAAAAACAAGCTTGCGCACGCACGAACACGCACACACACACAGCTCTGATCTGTTCATCGTGAGTACAGTGCCACAGTGCGCTCTTTGTGGCGTCCTGGGTCCTGTCAGAGACTGTTAGTGAGGCTGTCGCATCACAGAAGTCTCTCATTCCTCCTCCCTGCAGATAACACTGCTATTGTAGCAGGCCTCATTTTTCTGCGACGAGGCTCAATGGGCTCCATTGTGCCTCATCAGCCATCCACTCACTTGCAGGATATTTCTCCACAGCACAGCCAGAAGGATGCACATACTGTATGAAAACTGTCCTCTGACAATAGAAATTCATGGAAGGGAAAATTTGGTCTCATCTATCACCTTTCATTCCTTTCAAATTCTTTATGCTTCTCTATTCTTTCAGTTTGTTTGGCCTGTGTTGCAGAGAGCACATAGGAACATACTGTGAATCCTTCGGCCTTTAACAAGACACATGCCGAGTGTGAAGCCGAAAAGATGACTGGTGAGATATAGACAGAGAGATTTCTAGAATCATTGGACAGACGTTTGCAGTCAATGTATGGACAGAAAATCACTCTTCACTTATTTCCTGTCAGAGCTTCGTGGATCCCTTTGATTTGAGCCGTTGCTTCTCAGTAATCTGATCTGAAGCGTCTCCGCTCTCCTCCGCTCCCTTGTCATTTTTAGCGTGAGGCGACGGCAGGGGGGGTGTGTCAGAAAAGAGCAAAACCACCCATGGGAATCCTTCAGCAGCGTGATGCCATTTCACCTGGCATCAGCAGCAAACCCCCCCCCCTCTACATCACCGGAGGCTCATATCCGCAGTAAAAGAAGCAGTGCCTGGCACCCCCGGTGAAGCGGCAGACTGTTAGCATCCTCACATAGAGCAACACCTCGCTCTGAAGCCACAGAAACAGATAAACACTCCAGGCTCAAGACGTACTGCAGCTCACACACACACA